GCTTGTTTAGCCGCCGAGGCTGAAAAGGAAGCGTTTTTTTGTTAGCGTATTACCGAAAAAACTTGAGGACAACGTAACCATTTTTTCTTCTTTTTTTCATGAAGCAATCTCCTTGCATTTGATTTATTTTTCCGAGCGACGGCGTTTCTATTGTCCGCTGATTGTTTGACGATTTTTGCTTTTTTTTCATTAACAGGAAACGGGCTGGTTTAATGCATTTAATGTACCGTTGCTATGCAACTGAGAAATTCATTTGAATGGTGGGAAATTGATTAAAAACAATAATTTATACTTGCAGTGAATTCTTAGTTTGATCGTTTTTGAGGCGACCAGAAACCGTTTGCTCTCGTTTGCAAACCCCCCCCCTCCTCTTTCGACACAACACGGTATACATTTTGTATCCATTGTGTTGGATTTCACAATAGCTCGGCTTGGCTGTGTGCGAGTAAAGAACAATCCGGGGTTTGGCACACATTTCCTCCACCTTCAGGGAGAGGCGCGGACGACCGCCAGGGAGTGGGAGGAGGATTCCAGGCTGTTTTTAAATTGTTAGTAAAAGATATATGGGCACAGAACAGGTATGGCTGCTGCAGTACCCCCCCCCAAAACCCCATCTTTCATGCACGTATACAGCACACACACACACACACACACGCACGTACGCACACAGGGTGCTGTGCGAGGACTGAGGCAGGTGGCTCCCCATGGCTGCAGCTTCATGACAACATGCCATTAGAAATAGCGGGCCTGTTGATCAATCCTGCCGACATGACAGCTTCGCCGCGAGGCCCGGCTCTTTGAGTGCCGACGCCGCGGCAGCTCCCTCTCCCGTTTCTCCCCACTAATTGGTGAAGGTTTCTCTTATATATGCTCGTGGCACAGGGCTTTTTTTTTTCTCTCCTCCACCTCCTCCTTTTCTTCTTTTTCTCCCTCTTTTTTAGCTTCTTTTTTCCCCCCTCTACACCCCCACTGCTGCCACCCATTTTTTTATATCTTATCTCCCCATATATATATATATATATACGAAGTATCTATTTTTTTATTTTCATTTTAACATTGTCACATTGCAAGCGGTAACTTTGGAGGAGATATTGCAGGTGGGTTGAGCAGAGGGATGTGTGCGCCGCGGGCGCTGTTCGTTCTGTGTTTTTTCGCGGGACTGTTGGAGCTGGGATTTGACATTGACTCTAGGCAATGTGCATCAGCACCAGATACACAATGGGGATCATCCACAAAACAAAAAAAAAAGCATCCTTTTCAGGTGAAATGAAGGAGAAAATAGACCTTTGATACCATTTTATTCCTAATTGCCTGGTTTATTTGTAAAAATTCAGGCTGTGACGCTGTAAATACTGTAATTAAGTGACACTGTGTCATTTACGTTGATACGCGTTTATTTATTTGATTTTTTTATTTTTTTTGGTGCTTTTCACAAGCAGCTGTGCGGCGGAATCACGTATTTGTGTCTTATTTGATTTATCGTGTAATCCCTTTCCCTTCTCATCAAACAGAATTAGGTTGCAAATGTCAAAACAATTGTGAGGAAATGGCTGTTTGTTGCCAGGCTGACGCGTCGCGGCGTTCTAATTCCACCGCCGCCGTCTCCCCGGCGCATCACTCTTAGACGCCACCCACTCTGAATCTCTCCTAACTAAATAAATGAGGGAGTAGGGGAAGGGGGGGGGGGGGAGATAAGCACACATTAAATGTTTAACTGTCTCGCATTTGTCATCTGTTTTGCCCCTCTTAATTAAACAGACGACGCAGCTCAGTGCCGGCACTCCAAGCGCACACACACACACACACACACGCACGCACACACACGCACACTTGCACGCACACACGCGGGCGCCTCAGAGCACTGGAGCCCGAGCGCAAACACTGCCCAGCCGATACATTCATTTATCCGGTAATAATTATTCTACGTCGGCAGGGAAAGGGCAAACCTGAGATTCAGTTTCTCCGTCTTTGCCGGCTGCTGGAGGAGGACGGAAATATGTATTTCTTTTGTTTGTTTTCCTTGTTTGTTTTTTTGTTGTTTTTTTCCTTTCTAAATTTGTCCCGCGGGGGTTCCAGCTGGTAGAGAATAAAGATTTTCTGTGGGCCGGTTGCGATGCCTCGCTGTATATTCCGGCGATGCGCTGCGCGTTGGAAACACTAACTACTACCTCCACCCAGTGGCACAAAATGAAAAAAAAAAACCCAGAACAGGTGTGATTGGCAGCACACAGCATTTAATGCAGTGGGAAGACTCGCCTCAAGCAACGTGGGGGATGTATTCAGCACACAATGGCGCCGCTATCTCGCCACTCTGCATTGTCTCTCTCATCCACGACCTTATTACAAGCCGCATTTGGCACGAAAAAAGAATCCCCTTTTTGCACTCGTCATTTTAAAGAAGAGCGCTTCGCGCTGCTAGATGGAGGTTTCTTCAACGCTGCCCTGCTGTGAGCAATTTGCTCGATTTTATTTCCGCGGAACGTCTCTAACCATTTCTCGCCTTCTATTACTTCGTGTAAAATGCTCCTCCGGGACAGCAGCAAAACAAAAAACAAACACGATAAACGGAGCCTCTCCTCGCGCCCCTCTATAAAAACGGCTTAAAGGGAACCCCTAGACGACATGGGGGGGGGGGGGGGGGGTTTGTCTGGAGGCCCTCTCCAGATCCGAGGAGCGGAGAGCGAGGGGATCAAAGTGGCTTGTTTTATGTGGCTGGTGTGAGACTTTGAAGTCCCGGAGTCACCTACAGCACTCACTTCATCAAGTTCACTAGTGTCTTAATAGCAGATCAATAACTTTCAAAGTCAGGGAGTTAATTTGATACCAGCGCTGATGTGATCACGCTGGGCCACAGAGCCGCCTGCCCTGCTGCCTCTAGTCTCTCTCTCTCTCTCTCCCTCCCTTCCCTCGTCTCCTCCTCACCTAGATTGGACCTGTTTTAGACTCTCGACTTGAATTAGGCCGCGTTCGGCTCCTCTTTTCACACACATCCTTCTGAGAACGCTTAGTGCTCGTGTCACAGCAATTCAAATGTCATTGGTGTCATTAGGATTTAATATAAAGCGTTTCTACGCTGACGAGTTAAAATTGAATATTGGATTTTTCGATATATGTTTTAAACGTTTTGGTTAATAAATATGTTCTTTATTAATGTTAATTAATAATGGCCGAGCTGTAAAGATATTATTATAATATTATATATTTCGGGCAACAAATTCATCAATTTGTCAGTCTCAAAATAATAATTATTATTATACAGACTGAAATGAATTTTTGTGAATTTTGAATTTGTTTTATTTAATCTGGATTCTGCTCCCAAATTTTATTACATGTATCATCAGCTTTGCAGTTCAATTGGATCGAGTCTTCATTGTGACGTCTTGCAAACATACGTTCTATTTTAAATTTCAAAGTATGTGCACGCAATATTTTACAGATTTAGGGAACATTGTGACAATAATTAAATGGAGAAAAAAATAATTAAAAAGTCTTATCTAAAGACTTAAATGTGAACGCGTCGCTGGAAAAAACGACGGCGAGGCCGACGGCTTTCGGACATCGGAAGAAGAAAAAAAACCTGCGGCGCTTTCTTACGCGCGCTATTCATTTCAGAGAAAGAGGGGCAGCGCCATCTGCATTCGGTTCTGTGACACCGGTCTAAGAGGCTGGATCAGCACCTGCAGAACAAAAGCCCAATTTAGTATGTTCATCTGAGGGTTGCTAATGGTATTAGGGAGCCGGCATGGTGGTCGGCGGGGGCCCGGCGCTCCAAGGTGAGCCCCGCGGCTTGACCCCCACACTCACACCGATCCACCGGGCTGCTGGCATTAGTGCCCCCACATCTGCCATTTCTCTTTCTTTTTTTCGTGACCCCCCCCCCCTCTCTCAGTGCTTTTCCTCCTTATTCCATAGTAGTATTACTCAGAAGGGCGCAAGCGTAAAAATAAGTTTTTAATACGACCCGAATAAGAGTTCTTCCGTGCGGCCGCTCCTCTAGGACGGAGGTCATTGAGCGCAGGAACCGAATCGGATAATTGTGGAAAGGGAAGGATGCTGATCTGGAAGCTCGACTATGTAGAAAACACAAAGTGAGAGAAGAGAGGGGGGAGAAAAAAACCGCAAAACATTGAGCGACGCTTCGGGTTAGAGAGGAGCGAGGAAGATGACGCGCCGTCGGCTTAATTCTCCCAGACAGTTACCGGTAGGAATTTCTTTTGCTTCCAATCTTCCGGATAACAGAGCAAGAGCTTTATATTTATTAAAACCGTTTTTTTTTCCCGCAAACACTTTTCCGTGAAGTGAATTGGAACGACATCGTTGTGTAGGAAAGGTGCTTCCGAAACCGAGCATTGTGACATGTTTGATGACGGCTCGGAGGACTGCCGCGCTTGACAGCCGCGACGTGGAGCTGTGTTTGCGAGGGGAAGCGGGCGGCGTCGCTGCAGCGGGCGGAGCTGATGGAGGCTGCCTTGTGCGGTGCTGATGGAGGCTGCCTGTGTGGTCCTCGGCGGGCCCGGCGAGTCTCATGTTAAATTTAACGCCGGCGATGTTCCGACAAAAGGTGAAGCGCAAAATCCAGATCTTCTCGTACGGAAAAAGAAATAACACGAAGGAGAATGAATCCGTTGTATTTAATCAGAAAGAAAAAAACAAGGGGGATGTTCTTTGAAATTTGAATTTTGTCTTCCGTCATCAAAATTCTTTGTAATTTTATGATTTCAATCCTTAGGAAAAAAAAAAAAAAAGATTTACCAGTCGATATATTTTTATATTCCTCTCCTTTCTTTCCCGAGGTACCCGCTGTTCGTGCACCATGAAATCTTGCTTCATTAAAAGTGTATTAATCTTGTCCCGTCTCATGGGAGGAACCATAAGACGATGTTGTGTCTTTTTCTTTAAATTGTTGAAGGAAAAAAAAAAAAAAAAAAATCTTCCAGATTTGGTCCCTGTCAGTCAGAAATAATTGTGTGCTTAATCTTGTCCCTGATGGATGACTCGGAGTTCAGCAATGGGCCAGCTCCAATGACAAATACAATATTAATATTCATTAACTGCTTTGACAATGCTAATTTTGATGCAGTAGTAAAGGGCCTTCCAAAGTTAGCGGCCAAAGCATCAGAGCTGAGCAAGGTGGCAAGATAATTTGTGCTGCTTTGCTGAGCTGAAGGCTTTTAAAGTCTTAAGCAGGAGGGGGGAGAAAAAAAAGGCTAGGTACCACAAACAAAATAAAAGAGAAAAGGGAAAAAGTTCAGACGCATTGGAAACCAGGACTGTGGAAGTAATACGATCAAGCGACGGCTACGAAAATTTGACACCTCCGATGCCGCATCTTTGAACAAATCTTTTTTTTTATTTTTTATTTTTTTTTATTTTAACAAAAACTCGCAACAAAGGGGGAGCACAACATGGTAAGTCAGCGCACTCTTGATTTTTCTTTCTTTTTCTTTTTTGTTTAATCTGTTTTGATCTTTTCAATTATCGCTATTTGAAGATCAATAGTGCTTTTTTTCCTTCTCTTTCTCCGCTGCGGTTGAAAGGCTCACAGCGGTGGTTTTTGCTGGATGGTCGGATCGCGGCTTTAAGAGCGAGCTTCCTTCTCTCTGAGCCACCAGTTGGCCCGCGTTGAATTTTCTCCCACACGGGGCTCGTTGAGCATCTATCGGCGTGTGTGTGTGTGTTTGTGTTTTTGGAGCCGTCGCCGGCTTGTTTGTGCCGCTGGTTTGGCTTCCTCGGAGCCTGGGCTCCTCTTCGCTTCGCGGCCGTCCGGGGAGAGTCACAAGCGCCCGCGGTTCTTCTCGCTGATCAAAATTGACTATTTTTGTGTTTTTTTCCCGCATCCTTTGCAAAAAAAAAAAAAAAAAAGTGGCGTCGACCCGGCAGGCGGGACGCGGGACGCCGTGGCGCCAGCACACGCGCCCTCTGCCCCGGATCGGAACGCTCTCTCCAGCCGCTCTTTTTTTTTCTCCCGCCCGGCCGTTTATGTGTGTGTTTTTCTGCACTTAATTCGGTGTGACTCGCGGTGAATGGAGCGTGGGCTGGTGTTTTTTCGCGGGGGTGGGTGGGGGGTATTAATGGCACGACCACAGACACCCCGCCGCTTGAGTTTAGCCAAGTTTAGGGGCAACTCCCGTATCGGCGGCACTCCGCTACCTCCACCTTCCGCCGAGCCCGCTGAATGGAAGCCCCTCTCTCTCTCTCTCTTTCGCTGCCTCTTTTTGTTGTTCTTTCGACTTATCAAAGAAAGAAAGATGGGACACAAAAGACCTTATTAGAAGGAGCGGGATGGTGGGTTTGGGGTGAGGGGGGGGGGTATGAAGATGGGGCGAAGGGGAGACCGGCTCCCCCCGGTCAGACGCGGAGAAGAGGAGAGCAGCCCGAGTGCAGCGAGGGGGGCTGCGAGCGAACCGGCTCCGGCCGCCGGTGGTCCCGCTCGCCTCCGGGACACGGATGGAGAGGAGGTGGGGGGTGGGGGGTGGGTGGGATGCGAGGGGGGGCGTCCGTCCCAAGTTCCCGGTCCTCCTCCGGGGCCGCTCTCTTATCGGCTTAACCCATCGGGGCGTTAGCGAGAACGCTGCCGTAGACGAGGTGCTGCCCCCCAGTGGATTAGTGGCTGACATGGTGGTGGGAGTCTGCTTGGAGTCTGTGCAGCAGCGCGAGTGCCAGCATGCTTGTTTTAACCAGGAACCGAGCAGCATCCCAAATACAGCTCTTTTAAATGGTAAGGCTTTTCAACATTTTAATTGCAGTCGTGCTTTATTTCCTCGTGCTTATTTGGCTTTAAATATTGTGCTTCGATTGTGTTTGTTAGTGGATATTTTTCTGGGCTTTGTTTGGCAATTTATAACACTTATGTTGCTAAGTGACAGATTGACAATTTGGATAATGAAAGGCAGTGTTTGATTGCTTTGTCCTGACAGCCTGACAGCGGTCTATTATTCTAAGACATCAAACTAAATGGTATTATTTATTGTATTGTACAACACAATTATATTCAATCTAATCAACCAGTACCATTATTTATATTGAAGCAGTTTCAAAGATTATATGTTGTATTGACATCTAAATTCAAGGAATTTATTTTTGTATCTGCTGTTTCTGTGTTTTATTTGACATGAATAAATCAGGGTTTATGCTTTTTTGTAGATTACGCCTAAATTATTTTACCATCTGTAATTATTTGTAAAATCCGATTTTTTTTAAATAACATAATTATACCGTAATTATTACAGTACCCAGTAACAAAACACAACCAGCACTCTGAAACTAAAGGCATTTTATGTTGCATTGTTAAAATGTAACTGTGAAAATGATTCATTTGTAAAGGTCACGGGCCGTTCCGTTTCCTCGTTCCCTAAAACTTTTTTGTACCTCCTTTTTTGTTGCTGTTGCATTGCACACTTTTGGGTCTCGTGCGAACATTTACGAGAGTGTTTCTTTTTTCTTTTTTTATCTCTCTCCCCGTGGTGCTCTCTTGTGTCGTGGCGTTGATGCCATTGTCGCCGGGTGATTGGGAGCTGTCCATCACTCGCTGGCGAACTGGCAGTTTACTTAAGAAGGTACACGTGGGACAAAAGGAGATGGCAGGAGTGTGGCAGGCGGGCTGAATGGAGGCAGGGCGGGCAATTAGCCGCCGCCTTGTCGGGGGCTCTTTTACTTGACAAGTTGGAACCGCGACGCCATTGTCCGAGCTGTGTAAGGGACATTCCCGGGGCTTTGTTTTGGCTCTGAGGGCCTTCGGGACTGCCTGCTGCAGGCCATGAGGAAGAGCAGGGTCTCCACCCCCCCCCCCCCCCCCCCCTCTTCGCTGAGCCACTGCGGGAGAAAATGAAAAAAGAAACGCCGTGTTGAGAGAAAAAGTTTTTGAGATTTTTGAGATATGAGATGCATAAAAAAAGCTGGAAAACGTGGTTTATTTTCCTCACTTTGTAAGAGTTTTTTGTAATTTCTTAATATCTTAATTCCCTTGTTGAGTTATTTCTTTCTTTACTATTTTATTTTCAATAACCTCCAGCAAATTATATTAAACTTATTTAAAACCGAGCTTTACAAAGCTTTGATGGAATATTTTATTTCTATAAATATTTAATTTGTCATGGTAATTGGTCAGATTTGGGTCGTTAGAGGTTATAAAAGGTAATAAACGGATGACATATGTTGTTAATTGCAACAATTAAAATCCTACAAACGTTTAGAAACTGTCAATCTGTTGGAAAGATTTGCTGTGAAAAATAGACTTTCTTTTAACAGTTTTATTCTCTGATCCTTTGTGTAGCATCTAGACAATATTTCCCTAATATTAAAAAATATAACGTGGGGACAAATCCGTTTAGTCGACTTTACTGACCCACATTTTTTAACATCTCACATTTCAGGCACTCGTTTATTCTTCTAAAGTCACGAATCCCAACTGAGTGCGTTTGATGGAATCTCCCCTAATGCACCTGGTCTCTGAGCGCTCTGACGTCAAACTGATCTCTGGAAAATTCTCTGCGCTTCTTGTGAAGAAAAGTCTCGACCACGCGAAGCTCCTCGTTTGACTCGAGTACTGAGCAGAATAATGGATCTTAAAGGCGAAATAGTTTGCGGAAAGGAAGAGAGCGGGGTGACGAGGGCAGTGTGTGTGGGGGGGGGGGGGGGTTTGAGGCCTCGCTCACATGAGCCTTGAATAGAGACAGAGTCGAGGAGGGAGGGAGGGAGGGAGGGGGGGGGGGGGTTAAGAGAGTAAAAGATTGTTCTCCACTCTTAAGGTATTGTTTAGGAAAAGGGGGAGAGGAAAGTGAGCATGAAGAGGGGACTGTCAGCATCACACGGATGAAGTGACTGTTGGCCACACTTTGCTGAGCCCCCCCCCCCCCCTCCCCCCTTTGTGGATGTTGTTGTGTCTTGTTCCCTTCTATCTGTCTCTCCTCTTTGTCTCCCGTGTCTCTCGACTCGCCCGTCTTCACCTCGTAGCCGAAGCTTTTTCAAAGCTGCCAGTTCGTCTCTGGGCATCCTGGAGGCACAGCCGAGCCCCCCCACACACACACGCACACACACACACACACACACACACACACACACACACACACACACACACACATACCAGCAGGGATTTGGGTAATAACTGATTCTTCTGTGTTTGTGAGTAATTTTTTCTTCTGGCCTATTGCTAGTGGGACGGCTTCGAGAGATCACTTATGTCCAAAGCTAAGGGGAGCGTGTTCAGCAGGCCACTGCACCCAGCACAAGCAGGTGGGGGGCTTGGGGGAGGGGGGTATAAACACACGCCACACATGAAGCACCCCGTGCACAAATGCCACGAACGAAAGAAACGGACAAAGGAGGAGAAGTGGAGGAGAGAGGCGTCCAAGAGGTAGACGTAGAGCGGGAAGGAGGAGAGGAGCTGTGGGGGGGGGGGGGGTGCAGGTGGGAGGAGAGGAGGAGACCGAAGGGGGGGGGCGATAGGGTCATGTACCCGCGGGATGGAGCTTTAGCCAGGCCGGAGGAGATGGGGGGGGGGGGCGAGGCAGGAGTCCTGGGCCCCGGGGGCTCTCCCTCCTGCAGCAGGTGGGCCGCTGGCTCCTCAAGCTGAGCAGGTGGGTGAGAAACGGGGGAGGGCTGCCCTCCTCCCTCACTCTCCCTCTCCTACCACTGAAGGCTTTTAGCATTATTCTGACAGGTTGTTGTTGTTGTTGATAGTGGGTTGGGGAGGGGTGTGGGGGGGGTCTTGGCCCTCTGGTTGTGGCCGCCACATAGAGAACCGAACCTTTGCTCAGTGATGATGATTATATCAAATATGGACGCAAGGAGCTCGGACCAGCGATTGATGCTCCACAGGGTTCAACAAAAAAGAATCCCCATCAACGTTAATCTTTGATTAAAAGCCTCAATAATAAATGTTCTGAAGAGAGTCTCCAGGTTCATTTAAAAAGTACATTTTTCGGGGAGACGCGGTTCTCTCTCAAGAGGAATATCATTTATTCGACTAAACATAATTTGATCAGGCTCATGTCTTAACCATGAAATGTAAAATCAGATTTCAATAACCTCACAGATCGACACACGCCTTTGTTCATGTCGCCATCCGATTCTAATTCTTAATTGCCGGGGCTTTCAGCTGAAATTCTGAGGGACTGATTGCATATCAAAAGGCAGAATTCAGTGTGGCTCTTAACACCGTGACACAATATCACCTCTCACAGAAGCCCCCTTTAGCTCAGGTACCAGAGCTCAAGAGGCTGTTTACATCGGGGGGGCGCTTTAACGCACGTGCGTCTAAGAGGCGATTCGCCTTCACAGAACACAACGCCACTTCACAGATGAGCTATTTTGCGCGCGGCCTTATTTGTCTGCGACGTGTCAGAACACGCAGCGGCTTTTTTTCCTGCGATTCTATTTGATGCGCCGACTATCAAAGATGGGAAGCAACCAAAAAAATATATATAAATGGCGAGGAAAAGGGAAGGGGACCAGAGGGGTCCGGCCCACATGGTATTTCTGTTCAGCGCTGTGATCAAGCAGTCGGCGTGTCACTGCGGCAAAGTGAATAGATTAACTTTTAAATATCCCGTGGTCTCGGGAGCGCCCCCCCCTCACCCCCCCCCCCCCCTTCCCCCCCCCCTCGCCCTCGGAGACGCGTCTCGTCTGCAAGAGAAAGCCGATCAACACCTCCGCGTCGGCGTTTTCAAATCCCTTTGCTCCCCTTCTGTAAATCCCAGGTTCCTGATGTCGTGTTGCGAGTTCTTCCTCTCTCTCTCTCTTCAGTGATTGAAGGAAATATTGTTCCTCTAATGTAGCAGTTTCCTTTTAATCAGCGTTGTGCGCTTTGATAAACCTTTAATTAGTCGGGAGCGTTCTGTATTCCACTGCCGTTAATCTCCCTGCTGTTAATCTCTTCTGCTTCTAGATTGATTGCCAGGGCTTGTGTGTGTGTGTGTGTGTGTGTGTGTGTGTGTGTGTGTGTGTGTGTGTGTGTGTGTAATTTAGTTGTGGTCCTTCGGATTGTCGCACCGGTTTCCCGCCTTTGCTTCAACGCACAAATGACTCTTTTCCTCGGTAAAGACGGCTTTTTCCTTCCTGCTTTGGAATCCCGGAGGCCCTTTGAGGCCCCCGCGATCCATCACGGCCTCCCTTCCCCGATCACTACAGCTCATTTGCCCCCCCCCCCCCCGCCCGCCCACCCACGCAGGCAGGCAAGCTGTTGTGACAACTCATCATATCATGACATAAAGCAGAGAGATAGAGGCTTGAGCCCCTCCCCCCCCCCCCTCTCACCCTCTCCCGCCTGGCCTCCCTTCTGGGCCCCGCGAGGTCACCACCTTCACATTAAGGGCTCAAAGTGGCCCTGCGAGGTGCCACCGGGGCGGAAATGCGAGGCCAACCGCTTTTCCCCCGGTCCGACCTCCACCTCTGCTTCTCCCTCCCCTCGTCTCACTCTGTCCCGCTGTCACTTTCTCACCCCGTCTGCCTTCATCTGAAGCCCCCCCCCTGCCCCAGAGGTCCGACACACAACAGCGCCACAAGTCACCGGCCAGCATTGGAAATATTGAGACAAATGACTTTGTTCAGGGGTTTTGAAAAATGGAGCCGCTGGTTGGACACAAGTCCAGAGCGCAGGAACGGAACCCGCTCAGCGTTCTGAGCGCGTGAGCTTTAAGCTGGAAAACAGCAGAATGAACAGAGCCACGGCGATGTCGATGTCATAACCAGAGGCGGCGAACCACTGCTTCTGTTTGTGCCGCCTGCACTTCACAGCTTCCTCTGTGTGCGTGTGTGTGTGTGTGTGTGTGCGTGTGTGTGTGTCCTGGAAGGAGTCAATGTGCTCATTGACGCTCGTACCAGAGTGTGCTTTTAAATTCTTTCTGCGGGGTCTTTCCAACGCCGCGTCTCTTTTCTGAGGATCCGGGGCGTTTGTTTCGTTTGTCTTATTGTAGTGACGGAGGTGGACCGGGAAGGATGCCAGTCAGCGGTGGTAGGGAGGGGGGGGGGGGGGGGGGGGGTGTAGTAGGGGCAGGAAGTGTTCTTTCTTTTCCCCTGGCCTTTGTGGAGCAGAGAGGGAGAGCGAAGCCTCCCACGTCGCCTGCTCTTGTTTCTCGGGCACATGCGTCGTGCACGCGGCCGTCCTGCTGCCAGAGGGGGGCCGGCGCTCGCATTCTCGAAGCACCCCCCCCTCACCCGCCTCCGGACCACCGGGTGCCGCCCCGACGTCACCGGCAGACAAGTGCCGCGCGTGCGTTGATCGCATCGTATGTCGGGTGGGTTTGACTGATGCCACTGACAGCCCCCCCCCCCCCCCCTGTTAGGAGAAGGAAAGACACCTAAAGGGAAGGGGGGAACGAGGAAAGGAGGGTGCGGGAGTACTTTGTTTCTCATCCTGCCACCGTCTAGTCCGCCGGCTGGAGGCCGCGGTGAGTCCAGCACTCGTTGGAGAGGTGAGAGGTCGGGCTTCTGGGTCGCCCCCGTGTCCCCCCCTCCACCCCCCAACGCCCTCTGTCTGGATGTGGACTCAGCGGAGGGGCAGTTTGAACCCGTCTTCTCAATGGCCACAAAAGAGCTCATTCAAATGGCCACTAAAGCTTTTCAGCGCCGGGAGATGAAGAATTGAACAACATTCTTTCACATCATTACCCGAGAGGAGTCGTGAAGGGGGAGGTGAGGAGGTGAGGGATATATTGGGGTAAGAGGGACGAGAGGCCGAGGCCATCTTCTTGCACTGAGCTGCATCTGGCAGCTGTCATAACCCCCCCCACCCCCCTCACACCCACCTCCGCCCCCCCCCAATCCAGATTGTTTTGTTTCTTTTCCGCTGTTTATTCCTTTTCATCCCACCATCCTAGATGTGCAGATCAGATCAGGAGCCCCTACGCAACGAGGAGCGCCTCGGTTTGGGTTTCTTTTTTAACGAATCCCACTCCACCTACCGCCCCCCCCCCCTCCCCCCCCTACACACAAACACATATACTCCCCCCCAGCCCCCCTCCTCCCAAACCCCTCTCTCACTGCTTCTCTTCTCCATAGCCTTTTCAGCTCAGGGCTGTGAATGAGTCCCAGGAGTCCCACTGCCTCCCTGGAGTTCTGCTGGGGTTCATTAATCTTTCATTGGGACCATGGCAATAGGGAATGCCCCCCCCTCCCCTTCCCTCCTCCCATTCTCCACTCCCCCACCACTGCCAATCGAAGTCTGGATGGCCAGGCGTTGACGCAGCATGCAGATGGAGAGCTTTGACGGCGCGGTGGCCGCGTAGCAGGAGCGTGCAGCCGGTCGCACGAGGCCACGTTAGTTTGACGCTAGAGTTCTGCTCACATTCGTCCGCCTTGGGCCCGCAGCTTTGCATTTGTATTGTCAACGGGGGCCGGGGTAGTGAGCGTCATTTGTATGTATGCCCCCATGCCCCCCCCCCCAACATCTAGTCCCATTAATGTTTTTCAAAGTCTCTTTGGAAATGTGCCACAGTGGAGCGCTTTTTTCTTTCTTTCTCTCTTTCTTTCTTCTTCTTTCTTGCATGGGTTAAAGTCGCTAATGAGGGTGTGTGGCCCTCACACACACACAAGCAGCTCCCCCCCCCCCCCCCCCCCACCCGAACATATCATCCATGTTATGATAAGCCTGATTAGTGCTGCTTCTTTGACTGCGGAGGGCCGGACGAGGATGTGTGGGTAAAGAGGCGAGAGCAGCCTCCTCCACCAGCCTGATCTACAGCGCAGCCCTAATCTGGTTATCTGGTGGTCGGGGGTGGGTGGGGTGGGGGGGGGGCGTGTGTATATTAGTGTCTGCCTCGGCCCGGCCCGATGAGAGGGGCTGAGCTCTGGTTAACGCACAGGGCCCACGGCAGCAGCAGCACCCCCCCCCCCCCCCCCCTAAAGCTCCACTGTAATCTTTGGGTAATTGAAAAAAGGGGGCCTGCACCACTTAGAGCACAAAGAGAAGATTACATAGCTAAAACTAATTTGCCAAAAATGCAGAAATGGATTTTCGGGGCCCCCCCGGCTCCCCCCCCCCCCCTCTCTCTCTCTCTCCGAAACCCCTCTTATTACAATACAGCCCAGACCCTCCGTGAACCGGGCCCCCGGGGGAATGGATGATGGGAGGGGAACGAGGGAGAAGGGAGGCCGGTGGGGAGGAGGCGGGCGGAGCAGGGGGGGTGGAGGGGCGAGCTGCTAATGACTGTGGGTTTTAGACGCGCTGCCTTCGTTTCTGTTGTTGTGGTTTTACAGATGATCGATGACTTGACTGCAGCCGCGGTTAAAAGTGCCTCATCACGCTCCAGACCCAAATGGGAACTGGCAAATACCCCCCCACCCCCCCACCCGCCATCCGCAAGCCTCTTAGGTAGTGTTACAGAATCCCAGTGTGACACCGCAGTCAACCACACTACTTTCGCTGTGGCTTGGCGGTTTGGCACCTCGGAGGAAGGGGGGGGGGGGGACCATGAGTCGGACGGCTCTCCTTTCGGGAGCTTTCAGACCAGAGTTGTCGCCTACAATCCAACTCAAATATTAACACGGCGGCCTCTCTCTCTCCCTCCCTCTGTGTGTCTCTCTCTCTCAGTCTAATAAGGTTCCAGTGGTACAGCACCCTCACCATGTGCACCCTCTCACGCCTCTGATCACCTACAGCAATGAGCACTTCACACCGGGGAACCCCCCACCTCACCTACAGACAGACGTGGATCCCAAAACAGGTATTGTGTACAGGTGTTTTGTGACTGACTTGTGTGCACGTGGTGTTTTAAAGATGGTGAAACACGCTCGCCCTCCTGATATGATATTCGGTGCACCGATGGGTGTGTAAATGTTTCATCGTACCCCGGCGCCGCGGCCCTCATGTACAGGACTGTCTCCGTGGCGTCCGTCTGTCCGTCCGTCTGCAGGCGCGTTCTTGTAAAACAAGCTATTCTATAAAGTTTGTCTGTCGTGTTTAAACCACCGTCCCATCCAACATCGACACCACTGCTGAGTCATGTGCACCAGTGTGGGAAAAAATAAAATGTTGGTTTTTTTTTGATTGCTTATTTAATGACGTCATAAAGAGAAACTAGGACTGCGATGCGGTTAAAGTGAGACGGGGACGCAGGCGGACTCGAGGACCTCTTGTTGACAACGGGGGCTTTCATCTGTCCATTTGGTTATGACCCTAATTAAGGTCTTTCGGCTTCAGTAAAAAACGACTTTTAAGATCGAGAACAAGAACCTGAACCGTAAGCTCGTAAAAAACACGGAACTCAGCAACCCGCCGGGACTTCTGGAGGGCACAACTACCTTTGCCGGGACCCCCGGAACCAGACAGCCTCTGTGGTCCGAGGTCCTCGCAGCTGAACGCCTGCTCAGGAGACTTTTAGTGTTTTTTAAGCACACGTTTCAAGGCGATTCCATCAAGCTCTTCATTTTTTGTCAGCCAATTCTTTCAGCTTGGTGCATTTTCAGTGCGAGGAATAATTTCATTCTCTTCCGGGTCCTCTGGTGGATTCATTCAGCCGATGTTTTAAGTAATAACGTTGCCTTATTATGATGGTCCTTACAAAGGGGAAATAATGTGCCAGCTGCTGTTTAATGTAGTGCTTAATAGGGGCTGCTTAATTGGGCTCAGTGTTTAATTCATTAATGAGCTGTATTAGGTCTTCAGCGCTGGGTGGTGATGGGATAATGTTTAAAAGGCTTTTCCTTTTTAATGTAATTTGCTTTTGTTCCTTTCGGTGCTCCAAGAAAAAGAAAAAAAACATATCTGCATGGACAAAAAAAAAAAAAAAAAAACGCAGCGCAGATTCCCCGTTTAAAAGTATGTTGCTGGAGCAGCTGCAGAGTTCGGGTGTAACCACCGGCAGCGGCCAAGTTCTGAGCCATGAAGATCGACCTGTTCTGCTTTGACTGGTCCAAACATCTGCAGCAACAGCTGCGCGCGGACGATTAAAGTTAGAGAGACAACCGACAAAAGTATGTCCCATGTTTCAATCAGGAGTATTTTGAATCCGGTTTGGGACGAACGGAGGCCAATGAGCCAATACTGTGTCCAAATGATCAACTCTGGATATGAGTCGAACGCTGCACATCTAATCTAATATTGGCTTTTTCACGCATAATATCGGGTGGAACCCAAATCCATCAGCCTGACAACCTGCAGCCTGTTGTTTGCCCTCCCTGATCACACAGAAGGCTTTAATTACATTGCTGTTGTGTTCACTTCTAAACAGCCATTTTTCTATAATCAATCTTCTGAATCAGTCGACAAATGTGACAAGAAGGATCGTGTTGGTATTCTCTTCTCACCTCTCCCTCCCCTCCGCATCTTCCAACACAATGTGCCGCCGCCTCAAAGGCCTTTGATCAGGAAGTGTGATGTAGCGCCGTGTGCGTGCAGGCAACAAGCCCTCTTCCTCCTCCTCGTCCTCCCACCAGGCGCCCCTGTGATGTGTGTTCCCCGTTCGGATGCGAAAGGCTCGAATTCGCCGCCGACAAAGATTCGGTTGTCTCTCTGTCATCATGCTGTCTGTCCACCTCCTCCACCCTTAATCCTGTCATCCTCCTTCTTCCGCAGGAATCCCGAGGCCTCCGCATCCTCCAGATATATCTCCTTATTACCCGCTGTCCCCCGGCGCCGTCGGCCAGATCCCCCACCCGCTAGGATGGCTAGTACCGCAGTAAGCAACTCCCTGTTTGTCCGTTACTGCATTTTTCTTGAGTTGGGTTAAGTAAATGCCCAAAGTCCATCTCCTGTCTCTCTGTCGAAGGCCTCTAGAAGTCCAAATGCATTGACTTCCTGAGACACGCGCTCCGGGGGCCACAGCAGCCTCGCCAGCCTCAACTTGCCACTTTGTGGCAAATGCTATTTTGCATGTCTCTGTATGGTCCAATTAGAGTAATGAACCGTGATTGCCCGTATTTTACCCACAATCCCACACGGGGGCTCTCCCCTGGTAACTCTTGTCAACACTTGTTAATGTGACAAAAGGCTACAAATTAAGCTCTGTTAATTTAATGTTTTCTCACCGCGATCTAAATACCGAGAGAGGCCCCCGAGCGCCGCCACGGCCGCCCTTTGATTTGCTGCACTTTATTTTGGTATAAATTTACATTCATTATTGTTTGTCTTTGGATGTGTAGACCTCAATTAACGTGATGGCTCCATTAAAGAGACCCGCGCTTCGTCTTTAATTATCACAACAAAACACCTAGTTCCAGCTCGGGGAGGAACGGGGCCCCGCTCCGTCGACACCGAGCGAAGGGTTATGAAATTTAATTAGCCATCGCTATCAAGATTTGTGGCATTCAAATTGTTCAGAGTTTCCCTTCCCTTTGATCTGCGCTCTGCAATCCCCTAGATTTTTGTCCTGATCAAATGAGAATAAAGAGCCCCACGGTGGGGAGAGGAGGGAGACACAGGGGGGGCTTTAACTTCTCCTCTTCCATCAGCCCTGTTCCTTTACCTTTTTGCCTTTCTTCTTTTCATCCCCCTTCCCAGGCAAGGTCAACCTGTTTATCCAATCACAACAGGGGGTTTCAGACACCCTTACCCAACTGCGCTCACTGTCAACGCATCCATGTCAAGGTGAGTTGAGACCTGAACGCGCACACACACACACACACACCTCCTCACCTACTTGTTACCCCCCGTTGGTTGTGCGTGTGTTTGTGTTGGCTGTGAGGGGCAATGCACACCAGCAACGCACGCGCAGAGACGCAGAGCGGAAGGCCCCTCCTCCCTCAAGGAGCGCATCGCACTCCGATCCTCTAGTGTGGGACTCCAGCTAGCGTGCTCAAATATTAATTGCATTTATCATTTTCTAATGAGGCCCCTGAAGTACATTTACCCCCACTGCATGTCAGGCAGTTCTCCGATGAGCAGGGGCAGGGCCACGCTGTGAGTCTGAGATAAACAAACATGATATAAGCTGAGGACTGGTGGTCCGGCCCATTAGGGTCCAGCTCAAGTGCTGCTGTGGACATTTCCGTGCACCCATGGGGGGTATGTGTGTGTGTGTGTGTGTGTGTGTGTTTGTTGACATCTTGTATACATGTGTGTGTGTGTGTGTGTGTGTGTGTATCTCAGCTGGTGTTAAACTGCTCACTGTTCCCTTGAGGGATGCGTGTTCTCTATATTGTGTGGAAAGCAAAAATAATTTATTTTAGAGGACTAAAAGCAGCTAAAAAGCAACAACAGAGAAAACAAAAAGCTTGCCACTATGCTTCCCTCTCCCCCCTTCTCCTCCTCCTCCTCCTCCTCCTGCTCCTCCTCCTCCTCCTCTTCTTCTCTACCCGGCTGGTTTAGAGTCTGGGGACGAGGCCGTGCTTCAGATTAATTACAGCCTGGTTGGGAAAGCGGGTCCTGAGGGCGGCGTGTTTAGACCTCTGTGACGTTGATGGATCATGAAAGAGACGCGAGGGGGGGGGGGGGGGGGGGGGGACATTTACTTTAAAGCTCAGCCGTGAGAATAAGGGAAGGTTGAGATTGTGGGACAGTTTGGGTTTTTAAGCTGTTAAACAGTCCTGCAGTCCTTCCAGGGAAAGGCATCAGGTGCAAAGGGTCAGACAATGGGTTTGTCCAGACATTGGCATCTGGCAGCGGTACCCAGCCAACCTGGGCTTTAAGTGACTGCTAATTTGGTCCCTTAATGACAGCCTCTACATTGGGATCATCTTATTTGCAGCGGAGCTAATTGAATATACTGGCTGGGGTGTGGGAGGGGACTGGCCATGGGGAAGAACTAATGCCCTGTGATGAGGCCCCTAATTGAATTAGTATAACTGAATAGAGGGAGGGCTCTGCGAGCTCTCTGGAGAATGGGAGGGTTTAACACATCTCCACCCCCCCCCCCCCCTAAAAAAATACAGGCTGTCTTGGAGAGAGCAGAGCAAATGAATCAATTTGTTGACTAAATCTTGAAAGAAATCTGTCTAATTGTGTCAGCAAAATGGCAGAATGCTTTCATACGTGGCCTTCAGGCAGTTGGATCTGTTCAAAGAACGGACTAGGCCGCTGTGATAGCGCAAACGATCTGCAAGGAGCCGGCTGACTGGACCAAATCGCAGAGGGAAAATCCGCCCTGGCCTTGTCCTCTCGTCGGGAGGCGAGTTCTCCCGCCGCTGCTTCCGTATCAGTTCCCCGCGTCGTAGCTCGAAAAGAGGGGATTAAAATGCAGGAAAGGAAACTCCCGTGGCCCTGCAATGAGCAACTTAACACCTAGCTGCTGTTAAAAAATGCATTATTTTAGGACATGAGGGGGGAAAAAAAGCCAAGGAGAGCGGAGACAGTCAGCGGAGCAAATGAAAGACGTGATTTCAATAATGGGTTTGGAGCAGCGCAGGTCCCCTATATGTGTGTGTGTGTGGGACAGGTAGGAGGAAGTGGAGGCCTCGTTTGGACCTTATGCTGAAGCCTGGCCTTTGATATGTTCCCCCATCGCCGTACCCCCCCCCCCCCTTCACCCCCTCCTCCTTGGTAACCGGAGAAGCGCACCGTTCAGATCATTATACATTAACCAGACAGGGGGGCTACCGCTTCGCTTTGGCAATTAAATGGCACTGGCTGACACTGGCCTTGCTGCTCCAGTGGCCCCCGCTACCCCTCCGCCCCCCCCCCAACACCGCCAGCCATTCTTACCTTTTAGATTGAGACGTAGAAGCCGCAGGGTTAGGGGAGGGTGGGTGGGGGTCTGTGCCGCGTCTCCTCCTCCGTTCGGGTTAAATTGGTCCAAGGCGCTGCTCGCTGCTGATGAGCCTGGGCGATGAGGAGGAGGAGGATGATGATGAGGGTGATGATGAGGACGATGCCCCCCCCCCCCGTGCTTCAAAGGGCCCGGCCGTCATGTTTAAACCATAACCTGGGACCCTGCAGTGGCAGCAGCAGGAGGAGGAGGGGTAGATGGGGGCGGGTGAGGGCACGGGGAAGAGTAGAGAAGAAGAGAAGCCAAAAAAAGAAATATATAGAACTTGGAACAGAGGAAATGTGTGCGCAGAGAGAGAGGGGGGAAGGAGGGGGGGGGGGGGGGGGAGGGGGTGAACGGGGAACCGGAGGAGAATGCGGCGGCCCCTAATGATGGGCGAGATGCAGCCACTGCTGCCGAGCTCCCCATCAGCGGATGACATGGCACAAACACCAATGTGTCAGTGATGAAGGGAGGAGAGGGGAAAGGGAGAAAAAGAGGGAAAGAGTTTGAGGGGGGGGAGCGCACTGGCACTCCCCCGAGATTGGCCTCCAAACAGAAAAGTAGTCGTTCCTGGCGAGTTTATCCTCATCATTATATTCTGGCTCGGAGCCATGCAGCCAGACACTGCCAGATAATGAGCTGCTTGGGAGGAAGAAAAAAAAGGAATTATTGCCCCCACCCCCCCCCCCCTCCCTCCGTCTCCTTCATCCTCCTCTCTTCTTTAATGTGTGTGTGGTCACGTGGAGCCGCGGCGTAAACACACACACATGCAGATAAGACGCGTACACATTGAGATAATCTGGATGATTAATGTCGGCGCGGCGGCGGCGTCTCGCGGCTGCTCCGGCCAGCGAAACCATTCCACAAATAAGGGTTTCTGCCGTAGATGGAGACGATGAAACGCCGATAGGAAGGCAGAGGGATGGAGATAAAGACGCGTGTGCTGCTGACAATGCTGAACTGGCCCAAAGACCCAATACTTTGATGGAACGTTTTAATTGTAGTTTGCAATATTCCTTGATAACACATAAACGGTTCAACCAAAAACCTAGCGCGTTCATATCAGCGCTGGAATGCTACAAATGCAATTTCCTCAAATATACGTGGCAGGTACGAGCTTCATCTCCGCCTGAGAAGTGCATGATCCGTAGTTTGGGAAGGCACTGATACGTTCAGCCTGCACAGTTTCTCCTTTAATACCCTCGAGTGAACTAAACAATTTTAAAAAAAAATCTCAATGGGGTTGTGATTAAATGAAGGGGAAGAAAGGCACTCGGCTCAAGTGTCTTTCAAGGGATTTACCCTTGTGCGTTTGCACCTGATTATTGCCACACAATATAGCGAACATGCTTCCCGATTGTTTTCCACTGAATGTCGTAACTTGCTGTAATACTTCTGTGCTCAGATTAAATGATGTGACATTGTTGATAACATATAGCCATGGATATTTCCCCCGTGGATGTTTGCACCTGTACTTTTTTTCTCGCAGCTAAAAGCCATTTCCATTTCTCTGAGACTGAACTGAATTATCCCTTTGTACTGTTTAACGTGTGCGAGGGAAATGGAATTTAGTTTTTTTTAGTCCCGTGTATACATGTGTTCCATCTCCTCATTTCACCCGTGTCCATTCTGACCATTTACACAGTTTTCTGTCCTCCAGGTTTTCCCCACACATGGTGCCCCCCCACCACAGTTTGCACACCACGGGCATCCCGCACCCGGCCATCGTCACGCCCAACGTCAAGCAGGAATCCTCCCACAGCGACATCTCTCTCAACAGCTCGTGAGTAGACCCCCCCCCCCCCCTCTCCCCCGACCCATTCCTCCCTTTCCTCAACTCCGCTCACCTCTGCGCCCTCTGCCGCTCCACAGGAAACAGTCGGACGCCAAAAAGGAAGAGGAGAAGAAGAAACAGGTGCACATAAAGAAGCCCCTGAACGCCTTCATGCTCTACATGAAGGAGATGCGGGCCAAGGTGGTGGCTGAGTGCACGCTGAAGGAAAGCGCCGCCATCAACCAGATCCTGGGCCGGCGGGTAAGAGCCAAGAGATCGCTGCAACGGTCAAACCCTCCACCATCCAGATCCAGATTTTTGGTTTGTTTCGTTCACTTGTTCACTAAAAGGTTTTTTCCCGTCTGGTTTCTCCTGCTACAGTGGCACGCCCTATCGCGGGAGGAGCAGGCCAAGTACTACGAGCTCGCCAGGAAAGAGCGACAGCTCCACATGCAGCTGTACCCGGGCTGGTCAGCACGAGACAACTATGTAAGTTTTTAAGTTTACAAGTCGTAACGGGATGCTCGTTTCCCCCCCCCCCCCCCCCCCCCCCCTTCGCCCTCCCGTTCACCAGGTGACATGATCAGTCGATGAGTTCTAAGGGATTACTTCTGCAACTCGCCTCTTTATTTTGATATTCCGAGCTGAGAGCGGACAAACCGGCGTGAGCTCAGGCCAGCTGGTTATGATAAGAAGGAGTGTTTGGAACCAGTCCAAGTCGTTTCCATGAAGCCTGCCGCACTTTGTTCTGACATTTACGCAGATTCTCATCAATTTGGTCCGGTTTTGGCATGGAGCTGACAAAAGTCTTCCACGGGGCGGCCTTTGAGAAGTCTGGCTTTTTAAAATAGAGGCTCATCGTGTTGTCTAGATGTTCACAGAGCAGAGGAAAATAAGACAAAAGATTACACACACAAAAAAAAGAAGAAAAGAGGGGAGGGATCAACTGGCCCGCAGTGGCTGTTACAAACCGGAGGGCAGAAACAAAAGGCAGAGAAATAGTGAATAAATAAGTAAACACAAAGAAGAGTCCTATTCTCGGTTTCATGTTTTGGGCATTCTGCAATATAATAACTAAGGTTCCTGTCTGTGTCTATTTTTTCTTTCTATTTTTTTGGCGGCTAACCAACAGGGGAAAAGGAAGAAGAGAAAAAGGGAAAAGCAGCAAGCAGAGAGCAATGGTAAGTGAGCTGCAATTATCTCCCATGTTAGAAGAGCCCCATCACGCGTCAGGCAGATGTGACATCTTGCAAGATAAAAGTCAAGCTAGTTTTTTTGTGTGTGTGTGTGTGTGTTATTGTGCCTGGCTTGTTGTTTTTTTATTTCTGTCTTTGTGTAGTTTTGCTTCCCAATGCAATATTTAAATGTTAAGAGTTGCTTGTAATACACCCCCCCCCCCCTTTTCCCCCCTAGCCTTCCCCAGCTAATAACAACTGAATATGCATGACACCCCCCCCCCCTCTCCTCCCCCTCTTGACATGCCCTCCCTCCCCACTCTGCCCCTTAGCGTGTTCTGGTGTTGTGATATGTATGTTTTTAGAACGTGAAGTCGAAGCATCGTGAGAGCCATTAACTTTGCTCGTATTGTGTGCGTGGCCTCGTTTGATAATGCCTGTGTCTGCAGTGTGTGTGTGTGTGTGTGTGTGCGCTTGTTGGGCTGCCCTTTGCTTGCTTTTTGCATGCTTTAATATCAACATAAGAGAAATCACTTACATCTCAACAATTAAGGACGTTTGCTTATTCTATGATTTGTCCATTTTTATTCTTTTGATTCATAATCTTCTGATCATACTGTGAGGACTTGTGGCGACTTGTTATGTATTTTTGCGCTCGTTTGGTGACGGATTTCTTCTTGAAGGCCTCTCTATCTGTTCTTTTTTTTCAGAACACAGAGAATATTTTCCAAACCCTTGCCTTTCACTCCCTCCGATTACAGGTGCTAATGTCATTTTGAGTATTAAATCACTAACTTGTTTTTTATTTCTTCTTTTTTTTATTGATTGTATATTTATTTATAAATTGATGTGCAATATTAGGCAGGTTACAAAAAAAAAAAAATCTAAATATTCTCTTTCGCTTGATTGCTGTTTCCTTTTCTTAAAATATTGCTATTGTTTATTTAACTCCAGCTAGATTATATTTAATTTAGTTAACCTCCATTTACTCGTGTGAGTCTCGAGCATTTAGGCACAATCATGCAGTAAAGCTCGAGGAAGTGATTATATTAAGTTATCATTGTGATGACCTGAAGGATGTGACGTCAGCGTAAAGCCTCCTTAATCTGGCCGCAGTTTCCCATTGGCCAGTATGCGTTTTGTAACTCCTCCCTCTTTTTTAAAAACCTTCCCCTGGCTGGTGACCACGCCGCTTTCCCTCTTTTTTTTAGCACCTACTGCTGCCTAGTTCTGGTAAATAATCCATCTCGAGCAAACACGCGTCTTACCTGCAGCTTTCACGCCAGCTAGAATCTAGATTACTAAAAGCAATTGTTTCCTCCTTAATGTCCTGATTATATCGTTTGCATGCATTTGTATTTTACTAATGTCTGAAACACACTAATTGTGTTCAGTCCTGTCTTTAAAGGCACACTTGAGAATGGCTTAACGGGTGTGTTTTGAGGGATGGGCGGTGGGGGGGGATTTCTTGCACAATGAGCCAAGCTTCATAGATTCACTGTTACCTGTTTTTTTTTTCCCTTTATTTCTCTCCTCCTTATGATTTCTGTTTCTTATTGTTTATTTTTTTTTTGGTTTTGGTTCTTTTACTCCTCTCTGCTGGCTTCTCCCCCCCAACCCCCTTCCTTCACTGTTGCGGCATCAGACCTGAGCGCTCCTAAGAAGTGTCGAGCGCGCTTTGGGCTCGATCAACAGAATAACTGGTGTGGCCCGTGCAGGTGTGTATGGTGTGTGCTTGCACCGGCCGGGGCCAGGTGAGGGCTGTGTCACTTCACACTGGGACTTCCTCCTTTGCTGCTGCCCGCCCCCTTTTTTCCCCTCCTCTTCTCCTCCCCCCACCCCCCCCCCCCCCCCCCTCCCTCTGTCTGTCCCGCAACGCTATCGCCATCTCTCAGCTTCCTCCAGCCACGCCCTGCCGGTCTATCTCTAGGTTGCCACTATTATGATTTTTGATTTTTTTTTTTTTTTAACAGCATACGCTAGAATGTTTGTGTGAATGGCGTCCGTGCGCATGTGTGGCGGCGGATAAACTTCTCTGGGGTTACCCGGGGTTTCATTGCAGGATTGCACAGTACAATAAGCCCCACTGATATTTGGTGAGGAATCCTAAACTGGCAGGTCGGGGCTTGGAGGATCTGGAGCCTGATGGCTTGTTCATTATGGAGGACATCCCAGTGTTTCCAGCCTAAACCTAAGCCCTGGCTACATGTTTTTGTCTGTGTAATGACGTGTCCATTTTGTTTTTTCTTTCCTTTTGTTCTTTTCGTTATTTTGTCTCTGTGCGTGTGTGTGTGTGTGTGTTTGTGTTTGTGTCTACCTCTTTGGCTAACAGATGCAAATACCCCAAAGAAGTGTCGTGCCTTGTTCGGGCTTGACCAGCTGAGTTTATGGTGCAAGCCATGCAGGTATAACTGCTGTAGTACCAATGGGAGGAAGACACCCACAAAGAGCAGCTTCTTCTCCTTCGTTATCTGCTCAGATATCCCTCTCAAATCACGTTTCCATCGTTGTGGCAACAGATGGCAAACTCCTCCGCTCCTCTTCCTCCACGAGGAGCTTCCTGCTATAAATTCCCTCACAGCAATTTTTCCTCATTCAACTCGGTTCAAGCCCAGTGGCAGAAAATGGATTTCTGAATAAGATAACTGAATAGTTTCCAGTGAAATATCTGGCTGAAACTTAATGGTTAATTCGGAATAAGGTCATTGGTTGAAATCCATTTTCTCTCCGTTCAGGGGATAATCGCCTCTCATCTTAACTGTCGTGTATGTTCTAATTGGCGTCCTTTGAATAACAATGTAATGCTTACAAATTCAGCCCTGCTTTCTCTGAGGCCCTGCTCAGTGACACTCTTTTCTGTGCCCTCTTCCTCCTCCTTCTCCACCTCTTCTTCCTCCAAACTCCTCTTCAATAACCCTTACTTAGTCCCTACCTGTTGTCTTTCTGTTCTGACACAAGCAGTCTTTGAATTGGGAATATTTTCATGGTAGGTATTTGTTTCTGCTAAGTAACACCCTTCTCTGTGTCCGGCCTGCACCCCCCCCCCCCCCCCCGCCCCCAAAACCCCACTCCGCCCCACTTCTCTCCAACCCCACCCGCATACCGTTTGTCTCCGCCGCTACACCTTCCATTTGTGTCGTTCTCTCGGCTTTAAATCCAGATTTAGAGGCTGTTCTTAGCAGATTAAAAGTCTAGTTTGATGGAGACAGATTACCCAAAATGCACGTCACATAGACCCTTTGCAGCAAATTGTTCTTTGAAAATAAGCAAGCCCGCACATTGTCCACTTGGCTCCCTTATTTCCCCTCCAAGCGGAACAAAACAATACGAGCAGATCATGAGAAAAGCGCGATGCTCCCGTCTTCGGTTTAGTAGCCGAGAGGTTGGAAGTTCTCTCTGGGCTCCGTTTCCTAAAAGATGCATCTGGTGTAATTTCCCCCGAGACGGAAAAAATCAATAACGTACACGGCCACATATTATGAATCGATATGTCTGTTAAACAATGGATATTAGCTCATTTGTTGCGGTTTGACAGACAGTTATTCAGAGGAAGGCGTCTGCGTAGTGGCAGGCGATACCTTTTCCGCGGCCGGGTCGACCACCCGGCACCACGGAGCCGGACCCCCCCCCCCCCCCACCTCCCCCCCAGCCTCACTAGACTTTGTGTTCCCTATTGTCTGGTGTTGTGCGCCTGCACTGTCCAGCTCATCACGAACGCATGCCTGTCTCTCTCACCCCGGCATGCAATCGAGGTTTTGCGAACCATCTTCATGTGATTCGTTGTCGTCTGTCTTGATTCTCGTCCATCCATCGTGGTCGGCTCCCTTTGTCTGTGTCCATGTACACCCCCCCCCTTAAACCCCCCCCAACTAGAATGAAATAGGTTTGATTCGACCACCATGCCCCTACTGTTGTATTTCTTTTGAAACACCGTAGTCCTCCTTTCACCTGCTCTCCCCCGTTAGTCTTACGTCCCGTTGCTCGGCGGCCTCCAGGCGTCCTCGTGGTAGAAGGGAGAGCCGGGGGAGGGGTCACTGCCGAGGTCAGGGTAAAGACGAGGTGGGCAGAGATCCCCCCTAAACCAAATCTGTGCACAAGCCTTCGCGGCAGAGTCACCGTTGCAGACCCGTCTCCCTCCCTCCCCCACCCCCCCTACACACACTCCCATGCTTGTCTGCCGGGTTCCACTGAGGGCATCGGGCCTGGCCCCGGGACTCAGCAGGCAGGGGGAGGGTCACGACCTCAGGCAGGAATGCAAACATGATGCCTTGACCCCCCCCACCCACCCACCACCCCGCACGCACACACTTGTGTCCGTGGGGCAGATGCGGAGTAGTAGTGTGGATCTCGTTGACTTTTCGCCTGGTAGCCAAACTCCCCCTCAGGAAGGGAGAGAGAGAGAGAGAGAGAGAGAGATAGAGGGAGGATCGAGGTAGACTAGCGTTTGCTGGAGAGAGACGGCTGTAGGCCGAGTTCAACAGTTCTTCCTCCATCGCCATCGTCCCCGTCACCTCCCCCCCCGTCTGTGCTTTTCACCTCCCGGCTGCTTCACCTGTGATCTCTCCTTCATGTCTGTCCCGACTGACGGTTCAGTGTTTGGAAATTGACTCGTCATTTCTACAACTAACTTTGTTCTTAGCACGAGCTACTTCAATGCACCGGCGAAATCTGGAACCAGTTTCGAATCATTTTACATTTTTCTCTAAATTAAAAAAGAAGCCTGAGGTGCATTTAAGTCGGCGACGTTGCTAAAGAGGGCGAAGCGGTTTGATGGCGCGATGCTTAACGATGCTCTCTTTCTCTCGCCTTGTCCCCCCCCCAGGAGAAAAAAAAAGTGCATTCGCTACATCCAAGGTGAAGGCAGCTGTGCCAGTCCTCCCTCTACGGACGGAAGCTTACTAGACTCCCCCCCCTCCTCCCCCTCCTCCTCAGTGGTTCCCTCCCCCTCCCCAAAAGAGTCCAAACCTCAGACTGAACAAATGCAACCTCTCTCACTGACTATGAAACCGGCCCAGCAGCCACTCCACCACCCGCACCTCCGGGCTGGGCCTCCACCGCCATCTTTGGTTCAGCTGGAAAACTCTGCTGCTGCAGCAGCCAGGAAAACGCCCGGCGGCTCCTCCCACAACTCCTCCCACAACGGAGCGCCGGGGCACGGCGACGTCTCGTCCTCGCGGCAGCCGGGCTCTTCCGCGGCGTCCTCGGTGGCCCGGCCCTCGGCGTCGCTGCGTCACTCCCACTCGCTCCTCTCCTCCGCGGCCCCTCAGCCTCTGTCGCTAGTGACCAAGTCTATAGAATAGTCGGTTCTTCTCCCCTCTTTTCTGTCTCTGCACACACACACACACACGCAGACACACACACACACACACACACACACTGAGCTTTCTAGGCCGTCTCTCTGATATCTCTCACTTGCTGTCGGTTCATTTCTCTTTACGTTTCCGCGCCACGAGGCTTTGAAATTTTAAGTTTTTGTTTTATTAAAGTTCATTGGTCAATATTTGATCATTATCAAACTAAAAAAAAGTCAAATTATTATAAGTAAATGATACAATGAGCTGTAGTATAGCTTTGTGAATCTGCCAAAATTTTTATGTTTTTGTTTTGTCCTTTTTTTTGTAGCGTTAAACAGAACAATGATCTAGTTCCACTTCGACGTGTTGTATAAAAAGGTAGGCTAGATTATTCAACGAGCCCTTTTCTTCAAAGAGTTGGTTCTCCTTCTTTATTTGTATTAAATACGAGCTTGCGAACCAATCATTTGACACCCGTTCAAACTGCAGGAGGGCACGAGGCGAGCAGCGACGCCTCTCTGAGGAACAACTCTAATTGTGATGTTACTTGTTCTTGTTTAAATGTACAGAATAATGGGGAGGGGGGATTACTGTGTTGAATATGCATTCTTCCACTGCGTTGTCTTTTTTCTTTGTTGTTTACCTTCGGGGGGGGGGGGGGGTCAGGCGAGTTGGGGGGGGGGGGGCTTGAGGGGAGGTCGGGGTGGGAGGGTTGAGGGTTATTAAATTCAAAATGTCACAACGCTAGGACCAGTAGTATTTATTGCTTTAGAGATTGCTTGTTGTATCTTGTATGTGTCTCTTTTTGACTTTTTTGGTTTCTTAATACATTGTACAAATTGTTTTTTTGTTTTTTTTCTCGAGGTAAGCGACTTATATACGAATGATCCATTTTTACAAGGAGGTTCTAAAAGGCAAATCTTTTGTTATTGATTTCTTTCCTCGCTGAAAACCTGGATTCCACTCGGTGTATTGTGTAGATCTCATGAACAGAAGTATGCACAACTTCATTTCAAGAAATGCGTCTATAAGCCATTCTACAAAAAGAAGAAAAGAAAACTTGAAACAAGACAGTGGGTGCCGCGTCTTCAGTAGTTGGAAAAGTGTCTAAAGCCCTTCTTTTTTATCGCACAGTCACACCTCTGACTGTTGATTCGTGTACAGATTTTCCGTGCCAAATTTGTGATAATTTCCTCTGCCCCTCTAAAACATTGCTGTAGGGATCCTTTTCTTTGTCGTTTTTTTTTTTTTTCATTTTTAATTTCGATACCATTCTTTGCTGTGACGTTACATAGATTGCTATGTATGTAGTATAAATGTTGCTATAACAAATGTGTTTGGTAGCAATTTGTCAAATATTAAAAATTTAAACTTAATAAAAAAGCGGACATCATACTGTATAAACCCACAAGGGCCAAATTATGTATATTAGGAAGTTCATAAAAAAACTATTAAATACAAAAAAATACACAAACTGCCACTTTTAAGTACACTACTACATATAGGTAGATAGAAAAAATAGGCATGTTGATGTTGCAAGAGGCTGTAAAAAAAAGCTACAAGAGAATCATCCACTCGGTGCCATTGTAGTTGACATGACGCGACTGTAACCTGTCGATTTCTTCTCTGGTTTATTAAGATGCTAATGATAAATAGTTTGAATGTTTCCTTAACGGCTGTGATGTTCCTGTTCTATTTTATGCTCTTATCTTTTTGTTTGTTTGTTTCTCCTGTTATTTTAAATGGTTCCAAAACCATGTTTTTTTGTAATGAATAAATGTTTATGCTGTACAGTCTCTGTAGCATGCAGTTCTGTATTAATAAAAGCAACTTAGTATGTGCACATTTGCGTCTTCCTTTTCTTTGCAAATTGACCGGTAAGTAGCAAACTTTTGAAACGGCATCTCGGCAAGCAGCTCTTACTCAGCTGCAGTTTGTTCTGCAAACCAAACCGATAAAGGAATTAAAATACCCCAAATCACTAGCGTAGTAGAGGATCATACCTTTCTAATTAGACATTGTGACTTACATTGAATGCAATTAACTTCAACGATCAAGAAAGAAGAAGTGATCGTAGTAACAGCTACATTAAAATCAAAGAGTTCAGTTGGAGGAACCTTTAGAAACAGTCGGGCTGAAGTAACGTTTTCCACAGTTTGCACTGCTTTGCTATTCGCACATGCAAAGTGAACAAAGTGCTTCAGGAAGTAAAAGTGGAGCTGACAGCCAATTAAACACCCAGGATTTCAGTTCAGAATTAAAAGTTCAGATCAAGTGTTTTTCGTGCTGAAAGCGGAGCTCTGCAAGTGATATTTTATTGGTTATTCGTGAATGTTTACTCACTGACATGTGAGGAGTCTTGAACGTGAACATTGTATGTGGGATGTCAGGAGACTTCTGATCAATCTAGTTATCCGGGTTCACAGTCTGCTGGGAAATAAAGAATTTAGAAAACAGGAATAAGTGCCATGTCTTGTTGGTTCTGAATATTACACCAAAAACAAATTCTTTAGTTTTTACACAGCGTATTTGTTCTGCATCAGAAAACCCTATTTTACTCCTGAGATCACAACGAAACCTCCTTCACTGCAGACGCACGATTCTCTGCTGGTAGTGTTGCTGTTTTACCGGCGAGTTCTCCTGCCATAGTTTTCACTCACTGCAACGTTTCTTCCCCGTTTAACAGATCAGCGAGATCCTTTTCTCTTTCAATTTCACAACTGGCTTCTAAATGTATCTGGAAAGCAGCTCGTCGGACCCCTCGTGATTACGTGTTCGGCTCAGTTTAGATTCCTCCTGCGAGGAATCTTCGACTCCCGATGAACAGGAAGCGGCACGAGGGGTCGTGATCAGTATTTGGTGCTCTTTGTCGGTCGGGACAGTGGTCCGGGATCTCAGATCAAGATTGTCTCGGCGTTTCAGCAACTTGCATCTAATTTATCTCCACATGCAGGACACGCGTTGTGTACCTGAGCAAAGAAATGGCTTTTCTTTTCATGTCAGCGTGGCTTCGGAGGAGTAATGTTGAAGGCTGTTGCTGCAGGCGAGCTTACCAATCAGAAAACACTGCAGAACATTTAAATATGTCCTCTATGTGACAGGAAACATGGATGTTATTAAAAAACAGAGACGTAGACCCCCTGACCACGATCACTGTGGTAGAACAAAGGGCCTCAGCGCAGAGCGTCGACTTCTACAATCTCCCCTGCTGAAGAGGAAAATGAGGCGTATTTTCGATACAGCTTCATAATCACAGATGTGTGTTGTCCTCCATATCCTCTCTTCAGCCCAATTAGGTTTATTATAAAAGTTAAAAGAAAAGAGGATCGTGGGTTATTGTTTGGTGTTTGTGTGCATGGAGGTTTCTTGGAGATGCTCAGAGGAACTACTGGAACCGACTCCGATGCATTGAGGCTCTGCAGTGACCTTCACTCCTTCACTGCCAGTGCTGCTGCTGACCATATCTCATGACCCCAGGATTGTACTTAAGTGTCCAAGGACGAACCGGGGTCACCTGATCTTCTGCAGGATTGTAGGTAAAAAAAAATGTAACAATGTTGGATTTAAAGGATTATTTGGTCAAGTCGATACTTTTTATAAATTTTCACTTTGGAGCAGAGAAGGGTGAGAAAAATGAGATTAAGAAAGGGCTGATGGTCATATACTTATTGTACAGTTGGGTCTGTTTCCAATGATGTGAGAAGAGAAGTCAAATCAGAGAAGCCCAGTGCAGGTAAAAGCGTTTTGGAATTATTTTAGGATTTTATGGCAGGATCCGGCCAATTCTGTGATTTGTGTTGAGGGTTGAAAAGACGAACAAAAACAGCTCTCCATCGTCTCTCGAGTAAACACATGAAATAAATCTTAGATGGCGGGAGCTTGTAAAGGAAAAATCATTTAGCCTTTAGAATTGTTGGCGGTTACTCATCTCCAATGTCTTTAGTTTTGATGCTGAAAGCTGCTTTTTGCGATTTGAATACGTACCAATGAGTAACGTGTAGACTGAATGTCCTCCTTCTTTTAAAAAGCACATTTTTAAAACAACAGCCCACTCTTTATTGAGTAACAATTGCCCTCTAACCTCGAGGAACAAAATGATGAAAGTTTGGCCTTTTGAGATATTTTCTCTTTCCTCCGATATGAAAGAGCCTCTTTTATCCAAAAAATAGCTAAGAGCCGCCACACAAGGGAAATTCTGGTACCATTTGGTGCCCGATACTTTCCCTTACGGACTATCCTGTGACGTACAAGCAACAAAGCCATCTTGAATCACAACTGTTTTGGAAGCATAAAGGCCATATTGTGTGGATTGTAGCAACAGGGAGCGAAGGGATGTTCCATCAGAGACAATTTCAACAACTCGCAACACAACCTGCAGAGCCTTTTTTCAGCCTCTCACTCACAATCCGGCTGCCCTCCTTTAAGATCAAAAGCCCAAATATCTGACGTATGAAACCAAAAGTAAATCGTAGGCAACAGTTGGGAAACAATACAGAGAGAAGAGAGAGATTTAAATATCCATTGTGTTCCTTACATTGACAGCCAATTGCTTTAAAAGCATCCTCATACATATGATGAGTTCATAACTATGGCAATATAAGTGTTCTATCTAGTCAGCTAGGTAACATAATGTCTCAATGCAAATTAGATCACTTCTATCGGCATATAATTATAAAAGCTTAATTGTATTAAAATGATTTACAAACGTCAAAATTGGTGTACTGCATTGTCTACTTTTAGAGTGCATCAAATTTAGTTGATAGTTGATATTTATCCCTTTATTACAATAAAGTTATATTTGACACTGGTGGCTCCACACTCAAAATGTTAAAAGTCTTTTAAAGATTAATTTCACTATAGTATCTTAAAGGTCATGATATAGTCATTTAAAAAACATCCTGGTTTAGTCAAAAAAGTTATCCAGAAGTCACTATATAGTGCGTCAAAAGAGGGAAAAAAGGAGAAATGTCTCATGAAGACAAGTCACCATGAGGTCGCTGACCATTAGGACGCCCCATCAGTGACCTACAGGAACACCCTGTTGCGTCTCTACAGTCGGATCATATTTAAATGTACTTATTGTCGAGACGACAGCAGCTTAAGCATCCAGCGCCCTGGCAGTGATTACGGAACTAAAATACCACGTGAGGCCGCGACGCAGAGGGCGAGTAAGGAGAGGTGGTGCTCACACGCAGGTGTGTGTGTGTGTGTGTGTGTGTGTGTGTGTGTGTATATGTGCTGCTGTCTGAAGGTACGCTCGTGTGTCACCTTCCCAGCACAAGTGCCCTGGTCCCTAATGATGGTCGGTGTGCAGCGAGCTAACTACCCTCACAGGGGAGCGAGCCCCCGGGCTACTGCCACATCTCTCCATCAAGGCCTGCCTTCATCCCGCTTTGCACTGGGCCCCTTTTTCCAAAGACACACACACAAACGGAGAGAGAGCCAATGACAAATAATTCATATTATGGCCTCCCTGACAGTTTGCCCACACTACCTCATTAAGCAGCCTATTGTAACCGGTTGACATTCTCTCAGCATAATAACACTCCTTGGTCGGCTTGTGTTTGAAGTGACACCTCACTGCCGTGAAAAGCAAAATAAATAAAGAAATAAAAATACAAAAACAGTTACAGTGAGATGTTGTTTTTCACCTTCAGAACTCTCAAGGTGACGCAACTTTAGCCGCCGGATACCAATAACGGATCCCAGTTGTTCCTTGATATGAATGATGGATGTGAACGAACGCGAAAGCGTCCACATCCAGTCTGATGTCCCACTTAGGCCTGCATGGATCCTTCCTCGTAGTTACACACAGTCCGCTGCGCCGCACTCAATCATCTGCCAGTTTTACACCGGGCAAAGAGAGAGAGGCAGGATAGAAGCAATGGCAACGCATTGGGGGGGAATTCGGGAGGCGAGGGCTTGATGACAGTGTGGAGAGGCGGTAAGTGAAAACGCTCTACCGATGTGCTCAATTTCTGCGCACAAGGCAGCCAATGGCAGATTGGAAACAACGTGGGAGGGGGATTTTCTTCTTCATTTTTTCCTTATTTTCTCAGTAGCAATCAGTCAGTTCAGAGGCGATGAGCTGCTGGCGAGCCTACGAGGCATGTGGCTAGGTGCTCTCTGTCCTGGGGGCGAGACAGGGAGAAGCTCTGACTCAGCTCTGACTTTTCCAGGGCAACAACGAGGCCCGGGAGAACGAAACGAAAAACTTTCTCAGCAATGCGAGAGGGGGAAACGGGAGTGTGAGGGGGGGGGCAGACTTGAAGTTAAAACACAGACGAGCACTTCAATCTTCACTTCAGTCCCCTACAAGTAGGAGAAACATGGATTTCGCATAAACACACAGCACTTCAGAGACGGGCGACGAGATGAAGACAAAGTTTAGTCGAATAACAAACAGGAAAAAATGAGAGGAAGATGGAAGGCGAACCCCGAGAAAACACGAGGATCGACGTGGCCGTGTTCCATCTCCCTCAGCAGATACCAGGAACGATAGCAGCGCAACGTTCCGGCCTCCTATAATGAAGTCCAGATGCAACAAGTCAGCTCCGCTCCTCGTCATCACGGGCCGCGACCTTGGGGAAACCGCCTCAGCTGTGGGCTATCATATTTACAGAATGCTGCAGAGAACCCCAGACTTAGCTCCTCTGCTTAGGGATTAGGAGTAGAAGAATTCCACAGTAACAAATGTCTTCTCCCAAATGCCAAACAGCTGCATCTCTAAAAACCTGTTTGTCCCGAATGGACGGAGACGGCTTGCATCGTTCTCGCTTTGACCGTTGTTTTTTCGGCATGAGAAGCGCTGCTATTGGAGCTGCGCTGTGGTTTCACAACGTGCAGTAAATTAAATTCCAATTAGATGATGTTGTCAGCGTGAAGATTAAAAAGGCGAGAACAGATAAATCAGTGCATGGTGCAAACTTAAACGTAACATAAGGACAGTATGGTGTTAATGAAGCGGGTGCAGGAGCTGTATGATTTAAAGCAGAGGCAGTCTTCCACTTTTTAGAAAAGTTTGAGAAGTCCTTAAAATGAATTCCTAAACCATTCAACAATTAGTATTCCTAAACCCGTGTACAATTTAACAATCGCTCTGCCTGAGTGCATGCTCAAGACCCGAGGCTCCCGATGGAAGCGGATCTGTCTTTTTTAAAAATTCTTATTGCCTTTTTTTTTATTTCCTAAGGGGGGGGGGGGCGATTAGAAAGCACAAGACACACTGAGGTGGCTGAAAATAGCAGGTAAAAAAAACAAAAAACATACCACTGATTTTTAACTCCTCAGTCAAACGGAAAGTGGTGCAAAAGTGGGACGGCAAGTCTCATCGAGTAGACGCAATTACAGCGCTGAGGATGTGCTGTGAGCATCGCGTGTAAGACAAGAGAGACATTTTAAAGGAGATTAGTGCTGACACCTCCCTGTGTCTCAGCGTGCAGCGATCACACTGCGCCAACTACTGTGTGTGTGTGTGTGTGTGTGGGTGTGTGTGTGTGGGAGGCCTTTTGTCACTTGTACCATTCAAAGTGGGAGAAGGGAAAACAAGCGGTGGGATGACACCCAGCCGCCTCGCATGGATCAAAACCAAACTAATAAGGCAGGATGCTCAAATTAACAATGAGGGCCTCTTGTTTAACTCAGCTGCTTGACTTCCTCGGCGGAGGCCCGTCAACCACACGGGCACATTTAAATCCATGCGAGGACAAGACTTTGGAAATAATGACTGCACTCAGCCGCAGCACCGGGAAAAGAATTTTCGGGTGGGAAGAAGAGAATAAAAGCTGTTCTCTGTCAACGCACCTGAATGAGGGAGGAGGCGTATTAAGGAGCCAGTCATCCACTTATTGCACATCGGGGGGAAAAGCACACGAGGCCGTCCCTTTGCAGCAATAATCCATCTCCATTGTTCCCCTGAAGAGGCTGGTTGAAAATTAATTTGGGCTGGTCAACAGTCAATAACGTGCTCTCCAGAGACACGCAGTTTAACCCCCCACTGTTCAGCGTATTAGAGCACACACACACACACACACACACACTCTCGAATCCACATTGCACTCAGTTGCCTCTCAATAGCGAGAGGAAAGCATTATTGACCAATTTCTAAGCTTAATGTACCTGCATTTTGCCCTGCAGGCAATCCGCTCCCACCTCCTCCACTCGCTTTTATCGGGTTGTCATGTTATCATGTTTTCTTCTATTCATGCTGCACCATTAGAAAAACAGTTTCCAGGGGCAGGAAACGGAGATGTGATGGTTGTGCTTGGGAAATGATCGTAGTGAGGAGCAACCTCAAACCAAACTATTTTCAATGTGTTTACTGCTTCAATCCAATTAGTTATTTATTTATTATTTTGTACTTTATTGATGTGGTTTTTTATAAAACAATGGCTGTGCGTCTAGGATTGCTATCATAATAATAATATTTAAATGTTTTATGTTAAAATTGGAAATGTCTGCAGAATCAAAAAATGATCAATTGAATGCAATGAATTGTATGCAGCAGTCATAATATCTGACAAATCAATGTCACGTACAAACAATGCCTTATTTGGTTTGCTATTTTTTGTAAACAAATTTATTTTGTTAGATGTCGACAAAATATGATCACACCATTGATGCAATATCACTCAAACTGGATAAATAACTACAACATTATTATTCCATCCTACTAATGGACCCATTTCACACTGTATGTATTTATCCGTTTATTTAAATTAAACGAAAACGTTCAACGTGATCTACATCATTTACTCTGCGAAAGATAATGAGGTGTGTTTTTCTGTGGACAAATGCAAGAAAAGCCGAGGGGAAAACCGGTGTACTGGCCGACACAACGTCACGTTGCGTTTTGAGATCGCCGCTGTCAGCTTTCGTTTCACGTTACAGAGTTCTTTGTGTGTTTTCCTGGAAAGTGCACCGCATGTGTTTGAGGGCAGTCAGCTCTTTTCAATGCTCCCAAGTGCAGTGTTTGCAGACGCAGGAGTGGGGCGATTCTGCAAGGGAAAAACATAATAATGTCCACTGTGGGTATTTTTCTTTGTCCATAACGTCGACGATGTGATCTTCTCCGTCCAGTGACAGACTGAGGCAACAGCCGGCAGAAGTGTTGCAACTCTCTTCAACTATTAGCTTTGATTCACAGATGACTCCAGACCGTCCTGTTAAATGCAACAGCAGGTTACACTTAAATCACAAAGACACGGATGAACATTTCCATTACTTCTACTAACAGTCATGTAGTATTCTTAAAGAATCAAGGAAGGATTGACAGGGAACTTTCACACATTACCTGTTTACAGTTTTTTTTACGATTGAATATACCCTACAATCAAAAGCTCACCCGTTCAACCAAAATGGAAGGAAGGAGAAGAGTGAGGGTGAGGGTGGAATCCCCAGAGGAGGAGGCCAGATCCAGCTAGACGAAGAGACAACGTGTAGCATTTTTTGTACTGTATTTTCAGCTTTTCTTTCTTTGTACTGGATAGAATGTTTTGTTGGTCTGCTGCATGAACACAACTGGGACTTGTTTCTTGTTGTGAATCTCCATGTTGACTAATCAGTCTGCAGCATTGGCCTTGTGTCTATAATGTTTACAAGTGTCTTACAAATCACTGTGTGCGTATTGTTTTTGCAAAAAGCGCGAGCGGACATTGCGCTTAGAGTGGTGCAAATGTGGGCGATGATTTTTTGCATCGTGCGTAAGTAATCGACAAAAAACGTAAACTCTGTGTAAAGCAGTTAAAATCTCTCCTGGAAATAAAAATAAAAGCTCCTCTGAAACTCACTTGGCAACCAATCCGGCGCCCCAAAAAACCCGTGCTTCTCCCACTCTCACCTCCTCCGAGAGGAGAACTGCTGGATGTGTGTGCAGGAGCACACGTGAGCCATTTTGTCAGAGCAAGCGGTGAGGGTTCGGCTGTGAGCCCAAGCGCCTGCATTAGAGTTGAGAAAGAGTAAGAGAGAGAAAAGAGAGAATGGGGCTCAACCCCCCCCCCCCTTACATCAAAGTGTTTCCCTCCAGCGGTGTCTTGTGATATTTATTTATTGAGATGATTCCGCCAGAAAACCCAGTGGCCTGCCCCCCCCCCCCACACACACCCACCACTCTATGATATGTTGCTCGGTTCTTAGCTGGCTGTCCTCAGAGAAGGAGGGGTCGGGGGGGGGGGGTCAGCTAAAGAGGAACCTCCAGAGGAAGAAACACCGCTCGCACAGTACACCTAGAAACACCACACACCGTACCGTACGCGCGCACACACACACACACCAGATGATGCACGGGGAGAAGAAGAAGGGGGTTGGAGGGGGCGGAGGGGGGGTCAGGCATTGATTATTATTAAAGGGCCAATGATTTGTTTCCTTCACCATTTGGAGGAACAAGGCCCACATCTAAATGAATGTCAGATTAATACCTTCAAGTCGTTGCAGCGCACAGTCGATTGTCATGTAATGTCCGATCACCGCAACGAGCTAAACGCATGTTTCTTTTCCTCCTTTGTAGCCTCGGGGTTCCTTTCTCTCAGTAAAATGTATAATGATGAAACAGGTGACCCCAGGATCCCGAGATGCTCTGCACAAACAATCAATCCCTTTATGTATCAGTCACATTACGGCAGTGTAGCCAAGCCTTTTGTAAGCAGATGAATCATGCTTTATCGGCGAAAAGTGCTCCTGTGATGCTCAGAAAGCTAAGATTAGCAGCAGTGGAGGGCCAGGAAGGATGACCCCGATCCCCTAAACCCAGCTGGAAGCCAAAACCCGCTGGAATTGTACACGCCGTCATAACCTGATCGCTTTTTTTTTTGTTCTTACTCTCTGACGGGCTTTAATTTGAAACATCTCAGCATGTCACCTCTAAGGTGACATGCTGAGGTGCCTCTAAGCCTCAAGTTTAAAAGTAACGCATTGTATGCGACAACACGGTGCAAATGCGGCGACAGCGGCGTCCATGCATACTGATGTTCTTCACGATTTGTTTTGGCAGTCGCTAACTCTGAGTAAGTGAGGAGGGCCCCTGTCAATGGGACCCCGTGTCAAAGCTGTCCACAGAGAATTCCCAAAGTGGGTCTAGGGGCCTCTGCTCGCTGCGCCGCGGGTTGTAATTTCAGCCACTGGGGAGGGCATGCTCATCCTTTTTGCGTGACAGATCTCCAACATAATGCATTGTCAAATAACTCTTAATATGTGAGGCGAGGGTGACACGATGGTCGAATTCTCAATATTCAGATTTGCTCCGGCTCATAAACTCTGCCGCCACCTCGTGCCATCGGTCCATCAATCAAGACCCTCCCGCCTCGAACCCTCCTCCTCCTGCTCCTCTAACTCTTCTTCACCTGTCAGCCCATTTGAATATGAGGTAAAGCTTGGATGGCTTCCACAAAAAAACCCTTTGGGAGAACAAGCGGCCTGCAGGTATGTTTGATTGGGGAATATGCCTGTGCCAATAGATGTGTCAACCCCTCTCACCCCAGTCACAGGTCTTCTCCAGATTTTATTTGCACACTTTGTCTCATCATCTCGTGGAAAAAAAAGTCAGCGCTGTTACAAATCAATTGGAATATCTGCCCCCTAATGGTGACACTCATTGTTTGAACAGGCTTTTTACGAAATTTCCTGGCAAACAAGGTGAACAAATGAAAGGCTTGAAAATGTTTTGCTCCAGTTTGATGACGAGAACAAACACTGACGGATAACATCAAGGACTGACAATCACTGCCCATCTTTCTTAGTCGCCCCCTTCAGTAAGTCTCCATTTAACACCCCATGTAATAGGACTTGTGTAAACAATAATCCGTCTGAAGGCAGAGGGAGTGATTGTCGATGTGTGAGGGTAAACAAACAGAGAGCCACCGGATCTGTCACGGCTTGGACCCCACTAGATAATGATGGATGGGGGAGCGGAAAGGAGGGAGGCGGGGGACTGGGACAGGCAGTAAAGAGCCGCGTCAACTGCTCTCCCTCCTCCTGCATTAAACTCAAAGGAGTCTGGTGTACAAAACTCCCACTGATCAATTGGGAGCCAAAGGGAGTGGGGAGGGAGGGAGGGAGGGACGGGGGAGGAAGGGAGGAGGCTCGGGTTTGGCATACGTGATCAGCACATTGGGCCAAATGATGTCATCCATCAGGATGGACACCGCAATTTGCCATCTATTTCCTCATCAATCAAACTTGAGCGTTTTTACGAGGGGTTGGGATTTGTGTGTTTGTGTGTGTGTGTGTGTTTGTGTGTGTGTGTCTGCAGATTTATGTCCGTCTTCGAGCGCAATCTTAAGCGACGTCAACAGAGTGGAGCAATCAACGCCTAATTATCCATAATTAAGATTTATAATTTACTGCAAATGTCCAGGTTTTGGTCCCAATACATTTTATTGTGAAATATACAATTCCAATTTACATTGTTTTGACAGATGACTTTCAGGTTGTATTTGTTTTCCCCCCCAAAACTGCCTCGTGGGGGCTGCTCCCTCTGCTGCTGGCCTGCTATCAGTAATTTCAATTTGAACTGACTGCGCCTTTGGCTCTTGTACATACTGTGATCTTCTGACTGAGCACCACTAGATGTTATCCGGCTGAATTCGCCAAAGAGCTCCTTACCGGTGTTGGATGGCCTGCGCTGAAACAGATATGCGGTACGAAGCCAATCCGCGTGGGTTTCTCTCTAGAATAAATATTGGATATTTAATTGAAGCAGGGTGGCTTCTTGCGTGAATGAGACCAAGAGCCTTTTGCTCATTCCAAAGTCTTGACTGAAGGTCGAGTGTGTTAAAATACTATGGACCATTGAGCTGAGGAACAATGTGCCTGAGGAGATCAGCACCAGCTTTACCTTTGGCCTCTGGCTTCTGGCTGAAAGACGCTGATGGTGGCGGAAGGGCGCCGCTGGGAATCCCAGAATCCAGCTGCTTTTGGCCGTTAGCGTGATATCACAGAGGAGCACAGTAATAGAAAGGATTTAACTCAACAATTTGAAATGGCTTAAATCAGTACAATCACTACCTGGGTGTTTGATCCCATAAAAATACATTTCAGCTGAATGTACAGGATTGATATTCCATGTTCTGCTTAGGGCACAACATGCCAAGACTTCCCATGTACTGCAGCCAAGGTACGGTGAATATAAATATATTGACCATTCACTTCTTTATTTCAGTGATTATTCTTCAACTGTTGTATTGGGACTAATTTCTGTTTCATATTTAAAGAGAAAATTGAAAATGGGAAACAAGTGAGTTCTGTTCTATGGTTCAGTATTGTATTATCTTGCTATACTAAGACTTGCAACTAACATTACTAAATGCAACTATTTAACCATAACCTTCTGCATATTATTAGCACGACTCTGACTTTTACTAATGTTAACCCATTAATCGGCAATCTCGCGACCATTATCTGACCTAGTAGTTTAGAAAAGCCCCTCTCTGCCTCATCACTTTCCTCTTCTCGCATTGTTGAGATAATGGTCTTCTCCCCCGGGGGCGGTGGGGGGGGGGGGGGGACCCGTCTTTTATGGGACTGGAGAAGATCAAGATCACCTCATTATTAACCTACACACCCCCTCTGACCTCTGCAGCACCCACCCACCAGGCAGCAACATGTGCATCTCATTGTGGGAGGAGGACTCATTGGCCTCCTTTTATACCCCCGGCCTGCTGCGGCTGAGCCGGCGCTGATTTATGGGGCTAACGGATTGGTCCCAAGTGACTCGGATGCTTTGCAAAATGTGATGCACGACCAAAGGTTTGCACGAGCTCTTCTTGCACGATCAGGCAGGAGTTAGTTAGTTACTCAAGAGGCATTTACTCAGGAAATCTGAGATTTCGAGAAAAAAAGAAGAAAAAAGACACAGCAATGCTGACCGTTGAACCCGTTCATGAAGCTCACAGTGGGTGAACAACTGTCTGGTATAATGAATCAAAAGCCACTGTGGTAGTTTAAGAGTAATGGAAGCAGCATGAGCCTTTAGGATATAACAGCGTGGTGAATAATAGCTTCTCCCTTTTCAAGAGCAAAAACAAACCTCTTTGGTTAGAAATCGTTTAAATTCAATTTTTGAGCAAGATGTAACCAAATTCCTAAATATTTAAGCTGTATTCAATTAGAATAACCGTTCAGAGGGTTTAGCTCCTGTGAGACGTTTTTTTTAAATTTAGATTAGATTCAACTTTATTGTCATTGCACAGAGTACTGAGGCGACGTTGCGAGTGTGTTTAATTAAACAGGGAGTTGTTGAGGTTGGTCAGACTGAGCACAACGTACGCTCATTCCCAACGGGTAATAAAGCTCTGTAAAGGAACCTCACACGCTGGGGTTTTGTGGTTTTTGGTTGATGACGCTACGTCGGGACAAAATCAACAGTTTGAGTTCCACACTTTTACTTTGGCTTAATTTTTGAACGGTACGTTTAAAAAACAAACAGCAGGCAACGTTTTATGGGGACCGTGCCGGTGCTGGATTTGTGAAGCTCAATACAAATGCTTAGTGTCGGAGCACAGAGACACACAACAGAAGGACAGAGGGCCGACACTTTCAGAAAAGAATAAATATGCAAAAAGAACTAAAAGTGGAGGCGCTGTACAAAACACACACACACACACACACACACACACACACACTCTCTCTCTTCCTCTCCTTTTCACTCTCTTTGTCATCCAGTCTCAGCGCTAGCGAGAGTGCTGGCATCCACTAGTGCTGGGAGATGTTCTAAGACCTCTCCTTGCTTTGTGCCAGCTCTGCTATACCCCAGTGGGTGTGCGTTTAAGTTTCCCCATCTGCTTCTGTTCACATTATCTAGCTCCAGGGCAGGCACCTTGTCTAAAATACACACACACACATGCACGAGCACAGACACACACACTCGCTCAAGAGTTTCATCTTTGTGCTGATGACGCAGTTTTACAGTTGTGTGAAGCCCACACACACACACACAGCGTGGCACAGGTTTTTTATTATTTTTTTCATCTTTACCTTTCTATGCTTTTTTTTTTTTGACAATACAGGCGAAATCAAGAGGAAGTGTCGGCCTCTTGAGAGCGGAGGCCGCTAACTTCCTCTGAGCGGTGTGATCGCGGGCTGCTCGTCCCCTGGAGGCTGAATCAGCGGTGGTGCTCAGAGGCCTCGGGGGAGTAAACATCACTCGGCGGTTTGGCTGTGAACTAAGGGCCAGATTTGCATCAGAGTTCTCCCGCTTTTTTTTTTAAAACACCTCCTCAATCAATCGGCGTCTTATACGCGCCGCGTTACGCCTTTTGTGGTTGGCGCCGGCAAAACAAAAAGCTACACGAGCCTCGTTTAAAAAAAACACAGATTATGATAGTAGGAAGTAAAGGCTGTGAGTAATTTGTGAGAATGAAAGTGTCACGCGATTAAATCAATCCAGCCGAGTGACTCAGGGAGGGTTTCAGCCAGAAAGAATAAGTGAAAAAGATTGAAAACGAGGCTTCCATTGCCCCCCCCCCCCCAACAGAGCCATGTCATGTGGCCGTGCCCTCTCTCTTTCTCTACTATTGACCGGTGCCGCCACAAAAAGCCGATTGAGCTGTCTGCTCAAAGGGTCAGAGGTCAAACCCATCCTGTCAGAAGCAGGCCGGTGGTCAGAGGGAGGATGCAAGTGTGTGTGTGTGCGCGTGTGTGTGTGTGTGTGTGTGTGTGTGTGTGTGTGTGTGTGTGTGTGTGTGGCCTAGCCGTGAACTGTGAAGGAAATCGGCGGCGACAAGAGGTAACTCGGGGTGGCTGAGCAATTCTGTCACCGCCCGCCTCTCCTTTCTGAAACTGTGGAGGGAAAAGAGACGGTTGAAAAAAAGAAAGAAGAAAAGAGTAAAAATATGTCCAGCAGGGGGCTGTTCTTCTGGGAATTTTCTTTTGTTCAAAGTCTTAGTCAGACATCACTCAGTTATTTGAAAATGCATCAGTGGAAGTTAAAAATAAAAGCAGCATGAGGTACCTGGCACAGTCACACAGCTCTTATGTAACAAACTAAAATTCATCAAATGCCCCGGATCATTTTTTTTTTTTTGGAAGCAGGCTCTCAACAAACGCATGCAATCTATTTGTACCTCTGCTAACAGAACGTATAAAGGGGGGGGTGGGCCCCCCCTGGGGCCCCAGCAGTTTCCTTTTTCCTGGGCGGGAGGGCCCTTGGCCCCCGGTTCCTTCCCATCCAAAGAACAAAGCCCTTCCCATTTTTAGTTTTCCGGTTTCTCCCGGTTCCCCCCCCCCCCCCCCCCCCCCAAGGGGACCGGAGTGGTGGGGTGAAATTTTTTTTCTTCTCGCTTTTTTTTTTCTTTTACCTATTCAAAAACGCGGTTCCCTTCCCTTTTAAAATTTAAACACCACCGGGTTGCCCCCCCACGGGCCGGTAGAGCCCTTCGGAGCGCTTGAAAAACCCCCCTTGGGTTTAACGGGAGGACACCCCAAATTCCCCCATGATTATTTGGGCCCCCCCCCCCCCCCACACACCCCCTTCCAACCCCCCCTCCACACCCCCAGCCGAGCATCTTGTGTGCAGTGGTGTCACAATTTCCTTTTGTTGCCGCCTGTTGGTGTGGATCCTGGCAGCAAGGCCCCAGTAAATGACCTCTTTAAACATTAATCCATCTCAACCAAGAGGAAGGGGAGAGGGGGGGGGGGGGGGGACCATGATTTCACATACAATGAATAAGTTGATAAAAAGATTTCCCCTTTTCCTGTGCACGCATTTTTTTTTGTATTTCCCCCGCGCACTTGAAATCATCCTCACCGAATCAAAAAGTGAGAGAGAGCGAGAGAGGGGGAGAGAAAGAAAGACAGAGAACTAGAGGGAGACAGAGGAATGTCTGCGTGTGCAGAAGTGCAACAACAAGAAAGAAAGAGGAGAGGAGTAAAGCCGATTGGAGAGAGAGAGAGAGAGAGAGAGAGAGAGAGAGAGGGAGGGAGGGAGAGAGACACCGATGAGCTCTTGGAATGATGCGCCTCACGGTCCCCGCTCGCGTTTCCCAAAATACCTGGTGCCGGAGACGCGAAAGCCAAGGCGCGCGCGACGGACGCCGTTCCCCAGAGAGCCTCCGCCGGTATCATTAGCGAGGGAGACGGCGGGCTCAAGTGGCGTACAAACTTCAGCAAAACGTCAAGCGGGGAGAAATGTGCACGCATTGCGCCTCTTCTTCTCCCCCCCCCCCTTTTTCTTCCACACTCTCCCTCTCTCTTTTTACTTGCTTTGTGTTGTGGTTCAGACACCGACGCCACTCTTCTGCCAAATTAATATTTCTCAAAATAAAAGCCAGGACAACTTTAAACTAGCGAGGGAAGAAAGGAGGAGACGGGAGAGAGAGGGAGAGAGAGGGAGGAAAGGGGGTTGGTTCAGTTTGCAGGATTTCCTGTGAAGTTGCGTCTCTCCGTCTCTCCTGCTCACCTCGTTTGGAGGTCTGTGGTTTTGTCTCATCTCCGTCTCGGGAGTCAGCTCCATCTCACTGATGAGGTCGTCACAGCTGCTTCTGAATCCCAAATGAAGGAGCGCAGCGCGGAGGGTCATTTGCATTCAGCTCGTGTCATGAGCAGAACAAATCCTCCTTCAGCCCGGACGATCACGTTGGGCTCTGTTCCACGTTACGGGAACATGTTTAACAGCAAAAGGGACGAGCCGAGATATGGCCGAGGAGCAACCGTATTCCCGTTTAGCGCGGGCCTCCAACCCCCCCCCCCCAAAACGCACAAGCCTGCACCCATGGGACCTGTCGGGATTAAATAAAGTCTTCCCCACGCGGCGCGGTCACACGTAAATTACAGGTTAGATCTACATACGCAAACAGCTGTTTGGTGCCCGCGTCTGGAGATGTCCGCGCGCTTTGCGCACAAGCGCGCACATGCGTGATCTATATCTTATATGCACAGTGAGCCTGTTATCGTACCGGAGCTCGTGCACAACCGCTACACTCACATGCATCGCGTACTTCCTCTAGTGAAGGGGATAAACATAACGCATTTAGACGCGCCGGGTGTAATTTTAGCCGTTTACGGCCCACAGACGTGAGGAAGAAAAAGGGGTTTATTCTGTCTGAGGAGGAAGGAAGGAGCCACGCATACGCAGAATTGTTGAGCAAACTAACAATTAGCTCTTTATTCCATTTGGAACATGTCAGAGGGAATCGGAACCGGAAGCACGCATGTGGAATGTGCCTTTTTCACAACTCCTGTTTTGACAGAGAAATATAGAAGTTGGGAGACACTCGAACTCTGTGATGCACACAGAATCCAAAAGGAGCACTGCGCCTCAACAAGACATATCTGTGGTGTGCCGCTGCAAAACCAGACAAAGATAGAAACATCTGCCTCCCTGTGCGGAAAATTACAGGTGGTGGACAATTCAATCTGTGTGCTGTCTACTTCAATGGCTCTGTGGCCGGCAGAGGACATGGACTGGATGGTCATAAACAGCTGCCACTGTTTAAATTGGCCTCCTGCTCAAACAGCTGGAATGCAGGGTAATAAGTGAATACTGGATAATATCATGTCCAATCTAATGTAGTCGGAAAGTGCATTTTTCTGTATGACAGCGTTGTTTTTTGAAACAAAAGTTATCAAAAAACTAAGAAACTGCTCTTTCAATAATCTTTGGTTTTTATGTAAGGGGGAATCACGTAAATGACTTTGGTAAAGGGTGAATTATTTTTCTATTTACCATTCAGGTTAAGTCATCTTAATTGGCAGACTTTGTAATATTTTTCAACTCAAAGTTCGTCAGTGTTTTAATGACAAAACTAACCACATTCTCAGGGGAAACAAAGCAGTAACAATTTTAGTTTTAAGTATTAAATTAGCGAGAAATGATTTGGTATAATTCTATCACAACTAAACCCTGATAAACCCTAATGATCAATTAGCAAAAGCTCCGGTTGATCAGATTAGGAAATCAACAGTCTGCTTTGCTCTATTAAAGCAAAAGGATGAGAGAGATCACTTCTCACAGAATGTCATTTTCAAACCATTCAGAATGGCCAACTAAACGAAAATGTTTGCTAAGGCTGTCCAACAGCAAACACACATACAAGTGACAATACAGGGGCATCTAAAATTGATTTAGGAAACCAGACGGACAAGAATAAAGAAATACAATCAATACGGTCAGTCAAAACAGAAAGTTTACAATCAATGGGAAACATTCTGTCTTCTTTTGCGTATCAACTAAGTTGGACAAATAGCAACGCCAATGTTGCGAATGCAGTGGGCAAGTTCAAGTGTTGGTGAGTTCAAAGGTCGCTCCCCTTCTCCAAACTGTGTTCCATTGTCCCCTGCAGAAATAACTACCATCGATAGTGTCGGCGGAGCAGCTAATGTGCTGATAACACATTACATTTGAAGGTTTCAGTGCTTTGAAACAGCGGAGGGATGAGGTGTGGGAATCCAATCCATTAGATAAAGCCAACAGTAATAGGTATCCCATATCAAAGGGATATAGCTTAAACTGCAGGGGCTTTGGATGCGCTCACTGCTTTTTATTGTTTTAAGAGGAGCTTTATGCACAGGAGGTGATATCAACACACTAACAAAACCCTTTCAAACACCGTTGGGCTTTGCGTGACATCAAATGTGTCTATTAACCAACCTTTTGACAAGCCAAGGTGATTCATCTCTGCTGCGCGCGTGTGTGAGTGTGTGTGTGAGTGTGTATGTTTTCAACCCAGATAGTGATTTTAATGTAGCCTAACAACAAACCCAACTGAACATTAACTATTTTAACGACTCGTCAGTAGTGATTTTCAAAGCGGCTTCCCTCTTTCAATCCGTTCCCAAAATTCCACTTCTCTCCTCGAGCAGAAATACAATTTTAACACAAAAAAATCCAAAAAAGACCAAAACCTGTTTACCTTTTCGCTTCAGGAAGGGCGGACTTGGTGTGGGCCTACTGCAATAAACTGCGTGAATCTCTTTGTGTGGCTTTGAGTTTGCAATAAAACAACAAAAAAACAAAACCAGAAAAGAAAACAATTGAACCATCATGCGCTGACAGCTCATCGGATCCATGGACCCGGTGCCATTCTGGAAAAAACGAAAGGCCCCAGAATCAAAGTCCCCCTTCAGCTCAATCACTCTCTGCTGCCTCCTCCCAAACACTAATAATCACTTTCCTCCCTTTCCCCTTTTTTTTTTTCTCTCTCTCCCTCCCTTGTGTGAAACATCGCACCGCCTTTGATTGGGCTGTTTAAATTATTAGCGCACCACCTCGGCGGAGACGGCTGGCAGCGGCGCCGGGGAGAAAGGGGAGCGCGGGCCTCCTGCTGAGAAGCTCCCGGATGCACGATGTAGAGATGAGGCTCGGACCTCCCCCCCCCCGTCCCCCCTCTCCCTTGTCACATCACAAGAAGATGGCGTCCAATAAACACTCACAATGGCCACGTCTCTCCCGCACAGTGTGTCTCGCTTACCTACATGCTTTCACTTAGTATTTGCTCCCTGGAGGGTTCGTTTTATGAAGGGGAGCTTGTTCTGATTTGGAGGATGTCAGCTAAATCTAAATGCGGTTTTGTTTTTGTTGTGCGGCTAACCGGTGTGATGCAAATCCGGTGGGGGGGGGGGGGGGGGTGGGGGGGGCAGGTATGTTGTTGTTACACCTGGAGGCTGAGGAGTTTGAATGTGGGCCCATGAAACGCACAGAGCGGACCGAACAGAGAAGAGACACGTGGTCTGCAGTGGTTTACACGAGGCCCTGATTCTTCCCAGAATCCACTTGTGCAGCGCGCCAAGAAGGGAAATGCGGTGACTGTTGGTCTTCACGTGGAAAAACACAAGCGAGCAGACAATTGGAAGAAGAATAAATTGAGCTAATAACGAAATCAGATTTTCTTTTGTTATTTCGCGTTGAGGACATAACTTTTGTGTCGGTGCCCAGAGACTTAAATGAATAGCACAGGGAGAGAGATACTTTGATGTGACAATCATTCCCAAGTTAATTTGTCCTCAGTCACAAGAGCTCAGGGCATCCGGTGCCCAATCAGTAGAAAGACAAGAGAAAAAAATCATTATGAATAACGTCTTGCTTTGATTTGCAGGTTGATCGGTGCCCACCTGAAGACTAGACAATGTTATGGTCCAAAAAGACAATGTGTCTGGATGTGCCTGTTATTGTGACATTTTCATTTCACTTTTCTGCTTTTTTATGGATATGTAGACAGCTTTCATGTTTATTAAGAGCAATTTAAATACACTATAAAGTATAATATTTGAATACAGGCTTCACCTAAATACATTACATTTGAAACCCCCCCAAATACATAAAGTATAAAACATTGTAAAACACCCTAAGTAATGCTTCACACTCATGACATCATCATCATCAGCTATGAGCAAGGCATCAAAACCATTATTCAAATTAAAATATGAATGCTGCATTATTAAAATGTCCAAATGGAAACAGATGTTTCTTCTAAAAGCTCTTTCCCATGAATTGTATCAACTTCTTGTATTGACCCTTTTATCCTTTTAACGAATTCATCACATATACAGTATAATCTATCTGATCGTGATCAAATGTCATGCTTTTAATTATGCCTTTCATTACATCAGTCCACAACAGTTTAACACTACTCTGATTGCATTTTAGTTTATTATTGCAATATGGTTTTTGGCCTTTTTGAGATGGATAAATGACTTGCATGTGAATGCATTTGCGTCTACACGACGGCAGACGTGTGATCATGAAGTCTGCGTTCTTGCCGTTAAACATCATTTCCAAGGTGTGATTGGAAAGCAGTTTCTTGTAGTTGTTTAGGAAGCAGGGCTGATTTTAAAACAGCGGCCTGTTCCTTGTACTCTTCTGCCACCCGGTGGCCGCTGGGGAGAAGAAAGAAACATCTCCAAAGAGGCTTTGCCTTTGGAGGTTGATCACCCCCTCATCTCGCATCAAAATATCATGATTGCATCTTAGGAGATTCTTTACCATCAGCCCGGGAGGCAAAAAATAAATCCCTCTCAACGTCTCTCTGCTTCACATCCCTCTGCCTTCCCCTTTTCTTCACGTCTTTTGTCAGTGGCATGACAGCTGATACCTCTTTAATGACTAAGACAATTAACTTTCTTGCGAGTGCAAAATAAGAAATAAAGAGGTTTGCAGGGGGAGTGGGGAGGGGTTGAGACTTTTAAAGACAGAAATGGAAGCTACGTCTGTTTATCCCAAGTCATCATTAAAGTGACGGCCAACACCAGCCCCGATGGGCTCATCTGCATAATTGAATGGAGCTAAGAGTTGCACCAGAGCCCAGGCTGGCTGGCTGCGTGTGGACTCTGGAGACTCAGTTTCTTCCTCTCGGTACAAACGTCATCATTAGACCTCCTTAGCCCAGCGCATAACAAAGAGTTAGCTCATTACTGACAAAAATATCTTTGCTAATGTCTCCCTCGCTTTCTCCGATTCTCTTCTAATCTCTCTTGGCACAAATGACTTCAGCTTCATGATGATGATAACAGGGGGGAGAGGGAGGGGGAGGGGAGGGGAGGGGGGGGGGGTGCAGAGGAACTGGAGGAGAAAAGAAACAGCTTTGGTGACATGGCCACACCGTGTACAGAGATAGGCATGCCAAAATACAGAGGGAATAAAACGAAATGAAAGAGCTTTCTTCCTGGCAATATTCCTGCCAACATCTGTCACAGGCGAAGCTCGGTCGCGTGAAGGTGTGTCTGCTATACAGTACGCGCCATCCGCGCCCGTGTGTCTTTGCACGCTGTGTTGTCGCT